TCAGTTGGAAGAACCAAGCAGGCCAAGAATTCAACTGTTACCACTTTGTAGATTACGCCACCAGCTATCAAACAGCCGTTGCCGTACAACATGAAAATTCGGAAGGTGCCATCAACGCCGTGCTGCAAGGGTGGATTCAGTGGGCTGGAGCGCCATACCACCTCCATGTTGATTCAGCAGGGGAATTGAATTCAGACATGTTTGCCAGCTTCCTTCAAAGATTCAACATTAGAGGAACCACCATTGCGGCAGAAGGACATTGGCAAAACGCCAAGGCAGAAAGACATGGAGGCATTTTGCAGGAAATCCTCAACCGGATGGACCGTGATGTTGGCATCCCTGATTTCCATGAATTTCAGTGTGCGTTAGCCCAGGCTTGCATGGTAAAGAACCAGTGGACCAGAGTAAGAGGTTTTCCGCCCGAAGTGCTTGTGTTTGGGAAACTGTCTCGGGTAGCCGCATCCGTCACATCAGATGTTGAAATTCCCGCGCATGCATTGGCACAGTCCCAAACTCCGGAAGGAGTGCGATTCCGAAGAGAGTTGCAACGCCGTGAGGCGGCACGCCGCGCCTTTGTCCAACTTGATAATGATCAAGCCATCCGGAGAGCCCTTGTGAGCCGACCACGACCCTTCCGAAGTGACTTCAAGCCAGGGGATTGGGTCATGGTATGGAAAACTAAGAAAGTCGGTGATGGGGCCTGGATAGGTCCCATGAAGGTTGTTCAACAAGAAGGCCAAGAAGTCACATGGGTCACGATGTCGGGAAAGCTGTTCCGTGCACCACCTGAACATGTGCGTCCCACATCCGCAGTTGAGTTTAACAAGGTTGAACATCAAGGTCCAACTCAGCAGATCATTCCACCCGGAGTCGTGCAATTGCAGGATTGGACGCGTGTGCCTGACACTTTGACCATACCTCGAACTCGGGCACCAGCAACTGGGGCTCCACCAGAAATCCCATCAGGATCCCATTCCCGGCCGGATCAGAGTGCGCCGACCAGTGAGCACCCAGAACGAAATCCCGAAGTAGAGCAACCCGATGTTGAACCCTCAGTGTCTAGGGCACCCTCGCAGACTGAAACATCAGGCATTCCAGAGATAGGAGAAACCAGGGTACCAGATGGGGTAGAGGTTCCTGTGCCGGAGGATGACGCCAGTCTGTTTCAGAGCACAGAAGCATGGAAATGTGAAGTTTTTCTCACAGCCGCAGATCTGGATCGATGGGCACATCATGGGGAGGAGGAACACCTTGGTTTAGTGGTTTCCGCAGCCAAGCGCCAAAAGTCCGAAGTCAAACTGGCGGGTCTTCAGCCTGAGGAGCAGAAACTGTTTCAAGCAGGGAAACACCAGGAAGTTGCATCCTGGCTGGACACCGGAACCGTGACCAAGATCCTGCGACATCAATTGCCTGAAGAGAATATCTTGAGATGTCGATGGATTCTCACTTGGAAGGATGTTGATGCTGACAATGCCAAGGTACCTCAGAAACCATCAAAGAAAGCTAAGGCCCGTTTGGTTGTGTTAGGATATGAGGACCCTGAGATTGAAAACATTCCAAGAGACAGCCCAACTCTCAGCAGACTTGGCAGAATGTTGCTGTTGCAGATGATTGCCAGCCGAGGGTGGAAACTCTCATCCTTCGATATGAAAACTGCCTTTCTGAGAGGCAGCGCCAAGGATCAACGATTGCTCGGTATGGAACCGCCCAGTGAAATGCGAGAACAGATGAAACTGCAGCCATCCGAAATTTGTCAACTCTTGAAGGGAGCTTAGGGTAGAGTGGACGCACCATATCTGTGGTATGAAGAATTCAGAAAGACTCTTCTGGGACTGAACTTTCAAGTGAGCCCATTTGACCCTTGCTTGTTTCTTCATGTTGATCCCAGAACCAACACTGTCCATGGAGCCATAGGTGTGCATGTAGATGACGGCCTTTGTGGTGGAGATGCGGTGTTTGATGATGCCATCCAGCAACTGGAAAAGATATTTCCTTTTGGTGCCAAAAAGAGTGAAGTGTTCAAATTCACTGGGATTCAAATTCGCCAAGAGAGGTCAGGGAAGATTGTGCTTCAGCAGGAAGAGTATGTGAAGGACATCGATCCAATCGTCCTTGCCCGTTCCAGACGGACCAATCCCGAGGAATCCGTGTCGGAATCTGAACGCCAGCAGTTCCGTGCCTTGATCGGTAGCCTTCAGTATGCTGCCGTCAACACCCGCCCAGACTTGTCACACCGGTTGGGACTTATGCAAGGGAGGGTAAATCAGGCCCAGGTACAGGATTTACTTGATGGCAACCGTTTGCTTCATGAAGCCAAAGCCAATTCTCAGGTAAGCATTCAGATTCAGCCCATTCCTTTTCAGGATGTGAGGTTCTTGACATTCTCAGATGCCTCTTTCATGTCAGCCAAGACCACTGACGCATATCAGGGGATGTTCATATTTGCAACCAACACTCAATTGGAAGTGAACCAGAGGAGTCCCGTAAATCCCATTTCATGGCATTCAAAGAAAATCCAAAAGGTTGTAACCTCCACGTTGGCGGCAGAAACCATGGCTTTAGCCCAAGCCCTTGACAACGTGTCGTGGATTAGACTGTTTTGGTCGTGGATGATATCACCGCCCGATGCCTGGAAACTCGGAGATCAGACCCTTCTGAAGCTTCCTCCAGCAATTGCAAGTGTCACCTACTCTGAAGAAGAGGTACCTCCCATCCCGGTCTCAGCACAGGGTCTGACAGGAACCACCACTGCCACGGACTGCAAAAGCCTCTATGATTTGGTGAGCCGCACTGCACCACCCAATTGCCAAGAGTTTAGAGTACTTCTTCAAGCCCGTTTGATTAAGGAACAGTTGAAGTCGGGGATAACTCTGAGATGGGTGCCGAGTGGGGCACAGATTGCAGATGCTCTTACCAAAGCCATGGATCCCACCGCGATCCGCACATGCTTGCAGCTTGGCCGGTATGCCCTTCAGGATGAAGGTGAGATGCTGAAAACTCGAGCCAATGCGAAGGCCAGACTTGCATGGCTTAAAGCCAACGGGGAGCCATCCTCGGAGGATGCGTAGATGCAGGAGGGGGTTCAAGCGAACACTCATTTTTTTGGGAGTGTCAATCGTGTGCCTTCGCTTGGAGATGTTCATCAGCAGATCGCAGCCGATGTGAATCCGTTTGCCCAGGGGCTCAGGTTTACGGGAAAGACCTTAGAGGGCGTGGCGCCACGGGGAAAAGGTCGCGGAGGAGCTCTCGGTAGGCGAGGTCGCCTGGGGATTTACACTAACCAGGCAAAACACATATTTCTTTGCTGCGGTCCTAATTCCAGCTTAGTGTTTGGGGTCAACTCGCTTCTTGAGAAACTCATGTACTTGAGAGAAGCATGACCCATGGGCTGTTTCTCAAGCCCCCCCAAAATGGCTGGTCTGCTTTTGCTTTTAACTTCCCTTGACATTCCCAACCAGAGGGGGCGGGTGGTCCGAATTCCAATTTAAGAAACACTCATATCGGTTTGTTTAAGGTGTATGTCACGACCTTTGCTTCCTCGACACAGCGACTCGACACAGCGATCCGACTCCGCCGCTCCTTTTTCGGCCCCATGAGCTGCGCACAAAAAGACGGGAAAGGGGGGAAGAGCCAAGTTGATCACGCGCCGGGTTCAACTCAACTTGTTTTTGAGCTTCCGAGGATCAAATGTCAAGTCCACAAAATATGTTTGTTTGACACATACCCATGTAAGAGCCAATGTTTCCTTTGCTAAGATGATGGCAGAAAACAAGAAACAATCCTGAGCTCATGATATTGGTGTAAGGCGGCGCCTGTGGCCAGGGCCCGAGGAAGTCATGTCCTTTACGGAACTGCATTCTGATGGCTTCCGGATGTGATATTCTAGACTCGACCTGCGCGGGGTTCCGCATTTTGTGTGTCAAAGACGACAGCTTTGGGGTGTCTTGCCCAAGTGCCGAAACAGTGAGAATGTACCCCCAATGTCAGGGCTAAATCTATGCGCCAAGGTTCATGGCGACTCCAGGAAGTCCTGCTTTCTTGGAGTGGATGTTTGAGAGTTTTGTTTCCCCCTTTTGGGCTGCAGTCATGGAAACCCAACAGCCCCGGGTCCTTGCAGGGCCTGAAGAACCCTCTTTCAAGCTGGAGGTTCCACAGGAACCTCCACTTAGAGAGGAGCCCACCTTTCCAAGTTTTGGAGACTACAGAGCTTCCAGGCAAGCCACTATAGCAGACATGGGGAATCCAAAAGGCAAAAGGGACCTTCCCTGCTTACTCACAACAATGCGAATGGCAAGTAGGAAGCCTCAGGGTAGCCTGGACTTACTTCTGTTTTCAGGGGGCGGAATCTCTGACGCAAACCCAGCGGCTTTTTGAGCGATTGGGACACGCCTTCCGCGAGCTGGGGGTGTCTCAAGCCTGGGATCCCTTTTGACATTGTATGTTTTCTTGGTTTGAATCTATGGACCAGAATCAAAAGTTGTTCCTAAGCTTGACCCATCCACTCAGGAAGTGAGTAGACGGAATCGTGTGGACCGAATTCAACAGTGTTATTTTTGGTAGACAAAAGCTGAGGCAGCAGTTCGGACGCGCGAAGAACATTTCGGCTCACAGAGAATGGAGAGGCTGGCACATGCTCGGCAGAGATGGGGTTGCGCTTCTGGAGTTCTTTGGAGAATCTGCAGCGCAAAACTTTTTGGTTGGTTCACTTGAGTGTCCTTTTGGAAGAGGATTTGCTTCAGCCTGGGCAATAATGCAAGGTCATTTGATCTCTTGGGCACAGCCAAACAGCCCTGGGGTCCAGAACGAAGGGCCACAAGTCCCTTTTCAGAGGGCCTTCTCCCTGTGGAAGGGCCACTTATGGATAGAGAGGTTGGCCCCTTTTGAAGGGGATTATTCACGATCAATTAATTTAGGTTCTACTTACATTTGTTTGGGCCAACGTACTTGTTAGCTTTGGGGCAATGATAAACAACGGGCTAATCATGTCTCGAGCGCTTTGCCCTGGAGTTTGACTCAGCCATCCGCGGGTCAACGTATTGAGCCATGGGTCTGAAGCGGCCGGCGGATGTTGAGAAGGTTGTGGTGCAAGAGATCGACGAAGAGAGCGAGGAGGCCCTCGTCTTTGAACTCCTGAGGGTTTTCTGGCGTTTTGTGTCCAAAACAAAAAGCCTTTTTGGGCGGGTATCCAAAACCGAAACAGGTAAGCGTTGTGGGTTTTCAAAAAACAAAACCCGGGAAGCGTGTTGGGAGAGCGCCTAGTGAGGGCCTAGAAGGTTGGAGAACTTGGGGCCTGACTCAGCTAAGAATGATGGTCCTGGAAAACCCCTGGAAACACTGGGAGTGATGGTCCTGAACCTGGAAGGCACCTGGAAACACTGGGAGCAGGCTGACCTGTCATCTTTTTTTCCTTTTTTTGTGAGGTAAGTACTGATGCTTTAGAAGCCGCTCACGGAAACAACAGAAAACATGTTGCATGTTTAGTGTGCCGCATGGCTCGTGTTGGTACAGCTTTCTTCAGAGGAAGCCACAAGTGCATACTATCAATAGTATGTGTGTGTTCTTGTCCAGACACCCTATTCGACGTCCAGACCTGGTCAAGTCGGTGGCTGGTGTTTGTCCAGGTTTGTTCAATGGTTCTGTTTGTTGAACCTGTTATCCCAAGTGTTGTTGCTTGTATTTGCAGGCGTGTGTATGTGTGCGTGTGTGTTATGCTTGGACATTTGCAAGGGCAATACTTGGGCATTTGCCCGGGCATATTACATTAAGAGGCAAGGACTGTCATTGAAAGGTCCACATATCAAGGCCGGACGTTTGCCGAAGTGTGAACGCTGTTTGGCCTAGATCGGATTGACTCAAGTGGGGAAATCAGCCGTGGAAAAGGGGCTAAATAATCAGAACGCGGTGCGGGGGCTACTTTATTTCCAAACCCTCATGATTATCATTGAATAGTATGTGTTTGTACTGAGTTCGCCCTTGGCATTCCCTGCGCTGGACGTATACTTTGTGTTCAGACCTAGCAACCAAGCAGTTTGCGAGCTGTTTTGGCCAATCAGCTCAAGTGAGGGATCCGTTTGAGCTGTTTGTCGCTTTGGGACCGCAGGCCCCGGAGCCCCCGCCGCCGTCGCGCGCAGCTCCTGTCGCGCCAGTCAGCGCGCAAAGTAGCGCAAGCGCGCCAAGCCGGCCCAGGCCGCACAAGGCGGGGGGGGCTACTTGGTTTGATGGTGGAGAGATGGTGGCAGTTGAGATAATATGTGAGTCATCATTGCAGGAGTTGGTTTGAGTTGAATGACTGGAGACCTCATGAATGGGATTGACGCAGTTGAGTTGTTGGCGGCCTTGAGCCGCAGTGTTGGCTGGCGTGTTGGTCGTTCTCAGCCTCCTCTCCCCCATATTGGCCTTGTCACGGGCCAGATACTAATTCATTGCTGTGGAATGTCCGAAAGTTTTGGACTGATTGCCCCCACCTCCAATATCTCCTTTCACCTCAGTCTTTGGGCTTGGTACTTGGCCAATCCACTGGAAGTGAGGCTAAACCCAGTGCTTCCAGAGGAATAGATGGTCCGAACCGACCTACTTTAGATGGCCTTTGCCGCTCGGCAAAGAGCCTTGTAGTACATGAAGAGGCCTTTTTTAAGCCAAGAAATTGGGGCCCTTGCGCAAGGCCTGTACGCATCTATCGCCGGCAAATTCGGATATGAATGCAGGAGCAGGCGGTGCGCTGGCGCTTCTCCCCAGCAGCCGAGGCATGGGAAGCGTGCGGAAAGCGGGGAAGCGGCCACTTTGTGCGCCGTATGTTGCTCGGTGGTTGTCCTTTTTCATCAGGGCTCCTGAAAGCATACATTTTGCCCATTCCACCAACATAAGGGGAACCGCCATTGACAAGGTAATGTTCAGGTGTATAATATAAGGATCCCTGTTCATGTTTGTTGTGGTTTGCTATAGGTTGCTTCTTTTATATTTAGATGGCCTGAAGGACTGCTTGACACGCAGAGTCAGCAGCTTTGAGTCAACTTTGCAGCTATCCCATGTTGCTTCAAGGAAACCGTCCATTTTGGGTACACCATTTTGAATTGGCTAGGAATGTTTTTTTTTGGGGGGGTGAATCTCCAGCCACCTTTAGCTTTGCTATTGGCGGCGCAAATATTTGGCAAATTTGTGGATATTGTCTTTTGTTGGGTCCCCTGTTGGCTTATGGTGTTTTGTTCACATTCCTGGACAAATTATCACGACATCACTAGAGGGGTTGCGACGTCATCTATGATGAAGGGTTCTTTCATAGGGATCCTTGTTTTTCTCGGATGCTGAGTTAAAATAGCTAGCCAGCTAATGTGTTTGCTGTTTCTTCTTGTGGCGTGGTTTCCTTTTGTGTCCGGTGTTCAAACAAACAAGAAGATGTGTCCAAGAGTAGGTTTCAAACCCCACCGACCACGTCCAAGTTTCGTGTTTCTGGCTTTGTGTTCCATTTGGCTTCCCTTCAGAAACCAGCCAGAAAGGACCATACTGGTTTGTTCCCATAAGAAATCAGGTTTACCGCCCTAAGCTCAGCAAATGGCGAGACTTGCATGCACAGGACTTGACCTTCAGACCTCCGATTTCACACATGCCTGGGCATACCCCCACTACAGGGCCCATACATGTTCCGCGCAAAGGCGAGTATGTCGTTTGAGCGTCTGAATATGGATGACTGGTTAGCTACGTTTATGACTGAGTTTGGCCTTAAAGTACCCCACCCCATTCTGATTGCTTAGGCCCTTGTCCCAGAGTTTTGGTGCTGCCACTCTGCACTCTGGCAACTGGGACAGTGTGGGTATGTACCTTTGGGTGGGGATCTTTGGGCCGACCTGTTTAAAAATAAAACCTTTGTGGCTTAGATATGGGGGGGGTGTCTGTTTTTGAGGGTAGGCTTGAAAAAGGTTGGTTTGAAGGGAAACCAGAAGACGATCCGAAATTTGTTTTCTGGGTTCCCCTATGTCTGACACATACCCATTTGGCTAACCTTGCGAAAGGCCATTGACGACGCCCGCTGCTACGCGCGTGTGCAGTGCGGGGCCTAGCGAGCGAATTCTTCCTTATGGGTGAAAACTCTGTGTGCCACGGTCAAAACAGCCTATTGCTTGGGGTTCGGAATGGTCATGAATTTTGGTTTTGGCGCATTCGGGGTGGCAGGGGTAGCTGAGGATGTTTGGTTTTGGGAGGACCTGGGCAGCAATCCAACTGACAAAAAGCAACACATGCGCCAGAGGTGGTTTTGGGGCCTTTACGGATTTTAGCCAACCGCAAGAAGGTGCAAGGGACCACCCACATAAGGAATTCTGACTGCAAATATGCGGTCTGTAACTTCTTGTAGCCCCTTGTATAAGATTGTGGGGTGGTCCCAACGCACACCCTATTCTGGGTAGCGTTTACCATTGTGTTTTTTTGGCATTTGTCTGTGCTTGGCTGATTTCAACAGACCGTGTTCAAGCAACGGTCAATATTCCCTGTTCTCTTTGTGCTGTAAGAGCAGGCGAGCTAACCAAATTAGCCTTGAGCAAACAATGGGCTACGGACAAAATCCAGGCTCGACTTGGAGACACCTGCCGACTAGTTATTCACTTTGTGTGGCAATGAGAGTCGCTAAAAAATGCAGTAATCCCTGACTGTGACGGCTTTCATCATGGATTCCACTTTGAATGGCCCAAACAGCGGTCCAGAGCTTCGACCGCATCCAGTTTGCAAGAGTTGAATAAAGGCAACACAGTGAAATCTTGATAGAGCTGCTGCATTCGCATTGAAGGCGCAGAGGGTTGCACAAAAAATTGGCCCGAAGACACAAAAACACCAAGACGCGCATCTTCAGGGCGCCAGGCGAAGACACGAAGACACGCATCTTCAGGTCTTCAGGGCTTCAGGGAGTCAGCAGAGCTTGGGCGAAGACACGAAGACGCGAAGAGTATCTTCAGAAATTCAGGGCTTCAGGGCTTCAGGGCTTCAGGGAGTCAGCAGGGCTTGGGCGAAGACACGAAGACACGAAAACACGCATCTTCAGGGCTTCAGGGCTTCATGGAGTCAGCAGGTCTTGGGCGAAGACACAAAGACGCGAAGACGCGAAGACGCGCATCTTCAGGGCTTCAGGGCTTCAGGGAGTCAGCAGGTCTTGGGCGAAGACACAAAGGCGCGAAGACGCGCATCTTCAGGGCTTCAGGGCTTCAGGGAGTCAGCAGGTCTTGGGTGAAGACAAAGACGCGAAGAGGCGAAGACGCGCATCTTCAGGGCTTCAAACGTCAGGCTAAAAACGTAACCCGCTGCGCCTGCTCTGTGCATTCGTGTAGGGGGCTGTGTCCCCACAAATCGGAGATGCTTCAATTGAATTATCAAAGTTGTGTCAGTCCACCATGGCCTGGCCAAGTTGGTGTTGCACAAGTGACTGGACTACGCAAGTGTGCATGCGAGATAGGGCAGCCTCATTCAGTGCACAATCCTTGTTGGCAACTAGTTAGTTGACCTTGGGTTCTCCTCAGACTTTTGCGCGGGATTCCTCAGCACGCTGTGTCGCTCGAGAGGCACGTCGTATTTATTCTCTCGCTACCACGAGTACTGCTCTCCGGTGAGGTCGCCGGGTGTGATTTCGTGATCCCCTCCCCATGAATTCCCGCACCCACCTACGCAAGCGGTATACAGTTTCCCGTGAAGGTTTGAGGTACCTTGCAAGAGCAGGGCTCCTTAAAAGATACATTTTGCCCATTTGAAACATGGCTTTTTCCACCAAAATAAATGGAACACACCATTTACAAGGCAATGTTCAGGTGCTTTTCATGTAAGGATCCCTGAAGAGTTCCTTAGTTTTGGGGGTTTGTTTGCCCCGCACCTCAGAGGCTTGTGATGTCTAGACTTGTTTTTGCAAATTTGAAGGGGAGCTCCTTGTGGTTGGGTGATGCTCAAAGGACAAATTCGCGACTCCCAGCTTCTGGATCATAGTTTTGTTGGGAAGATCATTTTGGTGGCAAAGAATAAGTCCTTCGTTTTTCCCAGCTCAAGTGAGGTATAGAGAGCCCTGCCCGCGGCAAGTCTTAGCCTTACAGGAGCCTCGAAGATCTTGCCTTCTGAAACCCTCACTCCCTGAGTTCATGGACTTTATTTTTTTTGGCAAAATCATTTTGGTGGTTCTGTTCAATCAACTCAGGAAGTGAGTTTCAGGGCGAGTTGGGGGTTTTTGAGCCGGGAGGCTTCCAGTTGACGCGGATGGCTAAGGATGGATAGCCGTGTTCAGCAATGCAGCAACCCTCGCGCTGGCAAGGATCGACCGCAGTAAAGACCCAGGCAGTCCACAGCCTCATGTTGCTGGTGCGATAAGTAAGGAATGAGGGAACGAACCCAGGGGTCCCCTCAAAGGAAACCACAGGGAATGTCTTACGCGGGTCATTCCGAGCACCAGCAAGTTGTTTCAATTGATGCGTATATTGGATATTTCCTTGGTCACCCACATTGGTAAGTGGGATCATTTCAAAGTGATTGAAGGGTGATGAGACTAAGCGCAAATGAGGGCCAAGGAGTAGTAAACCCCTGGTTGACATTTCATGCGAAGCGGGTCCAGCAACCTTCGAGGGCTTCCAACTTAAGATTCAAAGCCCAAACAAAGAGAGGGTTACAAAGGGTTAAGTAGGGTCGTTCCGGCAACAGCCCGGTTGAACTGGAGAGGGCCCAACCCCGACCAAGATCCAAGGGGAAAGGAGTTGTGCCCAGCGCAGTCTTGCCTATTTCCGTTTCTCTCTTTTCCCAGCGTTTGTCCGCGATACTTCAGGACGCTTAGGGGGATCAGAGAGGCAAGGAGACGATGCGTACACTTTTCCAGCTTGAGCAGTTTGTTCTGGGGCATCTTCCGGGATCGGGGGAAACGAACAAGTCTACCTACAGTATGATGTTTCTGCGAAGGTTCTATGAGTCTAGAGGCCTCCTTATTTTCATGTGGCCTGTCATTCTAGGGAAGTCCTGGGGCTTAGTCAACTCGTTTGTTCTTACCCAAATTATGAGATGTTGAGAACCACTCAACCAAGTGCAACCACTTTTTTCGAGGGCCCAGTTGAGTTGGCCATTGTATGGGTGTGTCTCAAAAAAAGGAGACCCCGAAAATGATTCGCTTCCTTTTGGCTTCCCTTTAAACCTCCAAAAAGGGTACCAACAGCATATCTGACCTTTCAGGTTCCGGGGTGTCCATTTTGCACAGACAGGCAGAATCCCCCGCAGGACTGGTTTTGCCTGAAGCACGGAGAAGGGCGGTGGAGCCTCGGCTGAAGCATGGCCTCGGCTGGACGAAGATGAGCCCCAAGCCGTTGATTTTCTTAAGCGGAGAAAAGCCTTGCCCAGACCTCCCTGAAAAATTGTCCTCTGTGTGGAGCCTCCAAAAAGGCGCCCTTTTTGCTGTCACTGGAGGTATCTGGAGGTCTGGAGGTTTTTGCCTGCTCAGTTTGGCACGCCTTATACTGTTTGTTGACAGGTCCCTTTAGGGCTTTTGACTGCTTCTTGGCTGTATCCCGGTTCGGCCCCCTCCCTTTCCGGATCTTGTATTGCCAAGAAAGCTGTTCAAGGTTTCTTCAGTTTGTCAAGGTGCAACAGTTGAACTTGGCCAGTCAGCTCAGGTCAGCTTACGCAGGTTGCTTTTTTAAATAGACCTCAGTTCTTCCATTCCCTTCAGATACTCCAAGACCAAAAGCCGGAATAGGCTCCGCCGCCCGTGGTTTTCCCTTGATTATGACTCTGATGATTTGTTGCTTGAAGCTATATACTTGATGTTGGCATTGCTGGTTTACCTTAGTTCTGGCATCCGACAAAGGCCTCTGAAGCAAGTGGAACGTAAGCATCAGGCCTTGGTGTGGTTTTGTTGGGCTTTTGACTAATGCGGTTCATTCACGAAGCCGAGTAATGCTTGGGGCCATTTCCAGCCGGCGAACTCCGAACTCTGCTTGCCAAGGATCGCCATGTCTGCAATGCTCACTGCTTAAGGGTGAATCCCTCTGTCCTGTTTGCTTGGAATGTTCACATCCAGAACACACTGCATCTTGAAAAAGAAGCGGGGATGCGGGATCCGTGCAAACTGCTGGCTCTAGTTTGTGCGGGGACCAACCAGGTTCTGGTGTGGCTATTGTCAGGTCTCGGCCTAAGACGCCCTTTGTCAAGCCTCTTTCAAGCATAGTTATCTCGTCATGGGACATAAGACTCGTTCTTTTTAGCTCAGGGCGCAGCACCAGTTCTCAGTCCCTCACCGATTTGGTCCACGCGATGTCAAGTTGCCGATGGCTGCGCTTCGCCGTGAGGCAGATCCTGGGTCGAGTGGATGGGCCTATCCCGAAGGCCGAAGACCCGGGCGCGTCGGTCACGTGAGCCAAGTGCTGGCTTAAGGGGGGCAGCCGTTTCCGACCCTAAAGCAGGGGTCTTCTCCCAAATTGTACTTCAGGGTGGACAGGATATGATAGAGGATCTGAACATATTATTTTCAGCATTTCCCAGATGTGGGTCAAGAAACGGCTGGGATTCCCTCGAAAGCAACCACGGCAACAGGTGCCGTCAAGCCATCATACACCCAAATTGTTTCCCTGCAGGTAAACCTAGCTGGTTCCCGATTTCCTTCTGGAGCGCTTACTTGAGGAACATCCCTCCAAACAGGGTAATGTTGACCTATGATTAATAAATGGGGGGCCCACCCCCTGAATGACCATAAATAAAGATTAGGGGAGGTCAACATTAACAAGAGTGCTCCTTCAATGCCCCGAAAGTTTCGAAAGGTCAGGCCAAGCCACGCATTTCGCAAGCGTCAGGTTCAGCTTTCGCAGCTCCTCAAAACTGCGGCTGCGGATGAGGCGCGCTGTTTTCTTTTTGCCCACTTCCCACTGGGCAGCCTTTCGAAAGCTGCTTTTTGGGTTGGGTGACATGGGTTGAAACGAAACAGACCCACAAACAGGAGTTTGTTGAAACGGTGGTTTTCGGCGACAACAACGGGTTGGTTTGACCATACCCATCCGTTGACTTACCAACCTTTGTCCCATGACCCATGTTCGGAACTGCATGTCTTGACAGCCTCACACCCCGAGTGCAGTGGCTAAACAACCAGCTTGGGATGAGGTAACTCGATCTTGAAAGTTCGCATTCCCCGATTCCCCGTTTGGCTGTAGAGGCGCCCATGGCCAAACTTGGACAGGGCTCCTCAAAAGATACATTCTGCCCATTTGAAACATGTTGCTTTTTCAACACCAAAATAAAGGGAAACCACCATTTACAAGTTGCAATGTTCAGGTGCTTTTCATGTAAGGATCCCTATTGGAATGTCGGGGCTCTTTGGAATGTCAGGAACCCCCGGTAGCCGCGGTGACTTCGGGGCCGGGGATCTAAGCGTTGCACCACCCCCAAACCAGTACCAAGGGATGTTGGCGGTTGTTGGCAATCTTTCCGGTTTTAGGTCGTTGTTTTGGTTTTGTTCATCTTTAGTAGGGTTCTGCAGCAACGTGTTTTGCTAACATCCGGGAAGCGAGCCCGCGCCCGCCTATGAAGCCTCCCGCCCCCCGCCGCCCCGCGCGCCTTGCGATCCGAAGGCAGCAAGCGGCGTGAAGGTCTTGCGGAGAGCGAGCCTGGAGGCTGGGGGTTTAAACGAAGGGAATAATGAAGCACCCACTAGTTGGTTGGCTGTGGGTCAAAATGGGTATGCTTTTTGGAACCCTAGTTAATGGAACCAAGGACTAAAGCCTGCGGTCCCCTGGTGCTTTAATTTTGACCCATACCCAGTTATTTCCTGGCCAATTGTGTGCATGTGTGCATCTGAGTTGAGGGTATCCTTCTCAGATTGGTTTAAAGGGAAACCAACAGGACAGCCATCATTGTGCAGGCCCCCTATGTCGACACATTCTCAATGAACAAAGGAAAGCCCACAAAGCGGAATTTCTAAGGGACCCACTGATGAATGGGTTCCACGTGAATGTGCCGGGGAGCAGGGAAGAGTTGGGCTTTTTTGTTGCACAGGCGAGAGAAGATGCTCGGGACTGGATGATTCGCATGGGGTTGTGGGGTAAGAGTAAGCCAGCACCAACTGCTGTCGGTATCATGGATCGGATCACAATGTGTGCAGTCAGCCAAGCCCTTATCTTACTTACACGCTTTGCAGGGCCGCTCTTGATACAACTGGGGCTCCAAACATACGCTATAGCGAAGGAAGATAAGACTGCCCGAATTTGGCAATAGTGTTTTGGTGTACTCCAAGTTTGACCCAAGACAACAAGGCGCAGTTGCTTTCTTGTGGTTTTCCTTTTCACCACCAGGCCAAATGGGGATCCCTGATATATTTGAAAGAAAAGGGTCTCCGCAACCCCCCAAGACCCCCCGCCAAAATGAAGGTACGGAAACATGGCCGTGATCCAAGGAGCTATTATCATAGGATCCAATGCCCTCCCCAACCGCCAACCGCCCTCCCCCCCCCCGGCGGATTCCACAAAAATCGCGGAGAGGCCTTATTTGGAGGAAACCAGGTGGGAGGGAGGTTGGAATCCTATGAATATTTCAGATTACTCAGCAGAACAGATCATTGTTCTTAATCGTCTTGAGGGTACCGGTGACCTTTTCAAGTTTGATTTAAAGCGAAGCCAAAAGGCCCATTACCATTTGTTGGGCCCTAATCCTTATTTTGACACCCCAGATTACCCATCCCAAGCAGGGTTGAAGTCGGATTGGGTATGTGTCGAAATAGGGGAACCAAATTCCAAATGCCAAATGCTTGGTGTTTTGCTTGGTCTCAAAAACCACACACACACATCCATGTCCAGATTCTCTCACTCGCTCCAGGCCATGGAGCCCCGTGAGCGGAACCGCCGTCTCGAGGAGAACCGCCCTATTTGGCGCGGCTTCATGCGTCATGCATCTAACTAGGTCCCGTAGTAGTGCCCTTGTACCCTTTTCGGGGGAGGGTTCCCTACTAAAATAGACTACAGAAAAAAGGGTACCCTTATTCTAACCTCGCTACTGAAGGACCATCTCAATTCCGTTCCTGGATTTTTTGAGAAGGCCATTCAAGTGGAGAGACACAGTTCGGACGGTTTTTTTTTGGGTCAGTCTACCCGGAAGTGAGGGATGGGGTTTCTTCTTTGGGACCGCCCCTGTCTTGGACGGGTGGGTCATGCTACGAGTAGCTCACCCCTGGGTACCCAAGGGTCTGTGGTTGTTACACCTCTTTCCCCTTGTGGGGGGGCATCTACCCATGAGTAATTTTGTATCCTTGGGGCATTGGGGCATGAGCAAGGAACATGTACTTTCACTTGTTCCAACGAGCTTTGAGTAGGCATTGTAACCCTTCATGGATTCACTTGCCAGTACGTACCCACGTGCATGGTACTGTGTATGGGACACTCATCATGGGACAGTTGCCTTGGACTCTGCCGGAGCGTTGGAAAGTGGCGGTTTTCGGGATCAGGCACCCAAAAGGGGACCGGAAGGAACGACCGAAACTGGCCACGGCTGACGGCTGTTGAAGTCATTCCTCAGAACAAAGATTGGACACCTTTGCTTGAGGAAGCTTGGGAACCAAATCCGAATCTCCAGATCTTACCCGCTTTCCTTGTGCCGATGAGGACAAGGAGAAACTGCTGGACCGGCCTCATGAAGAGGCAGGGGGATGTCGGGTATGGGGTTCTGATGTCTGGAAAAGCCCAGGGATTCGATTGCTTTGGGTTCCTTCGGATTTCCTCCGGAAAAAGCAAAATTTTCGCTTCAGCTTTGGTTTGGCATTCTAGCCAATGGAAAGTCTTTGGGGTTAGCAATGTGTTGCCCAACTGTCATTCCATTGTTTGACTTTTTGTCGCATAATTTTGAGCAGGAATGAGGCAATGACCCCTGTAAGCCATCCCCTATGCTTTCTGCAAAGGGAATCCCCTTCCAGTTCATTCCCAACACCCGGAAGGTCATTCCCTACTGAGCACCAGCAAGTTTTGTTGCCAGTACTATTCATCGTGCTTGACGAGCTCCAGGAGCTCTTTTGCAGAAGTCTTCCTGCCAAACCCGAGCATCGGCACGGCCTTTTCCGGCTCGAGTGATGTGGACAGGGTTCACCTTTTGAAGGCCTTTGGTCCAATCAAAGGGTAAAACTATAAACCTTTCTTCAACGGGATCCTACGGGTGTGTCAAATTTGCGACGCGGACCCAAAAATAGTTTCCCTTTTAATCCAACCCCAAACACGCTATCCTCAACAACCCCCCGCCCCCCCCCCCCCCCCCCCCCCCGCTTTAAGTTTCCCGGCAAGAAGGCCAAACGGTAAATTTTCAAGGGGAGCAAGTGATCATTAGCGACTCTTTCCAGGCCTCCAAGACTCTTTCTTTGCGGGCCTCCAAAGACCATTGCGGGATGATTCGCCCAGGGCTTCCTGAAATGTGGCTGTAACACTCTATTTTTATTTGAGAAGTACTTTTATGGAGAAACATTTGGGCCCCCTACCTCCCAAACATGTACTTGCGGGGGGGCCGGGTTTCCTGCCTACAGATGCAAGCCAACTTGCACAAGGCTCTCTTGTCCTCTCTTGCCCTGATTGGAAAAGCCTTCGCAGCTGCCAGTTCCGCTTGTGGCAGATTCCCCTCCAAGAAAAGTCAAAATTGACTGCCCCAAACACACCTCCTGTTTCTGTCTATAGGAGTCTTCTCGGGGTGGGTCAAGTGTGTATGTGTGTCTGGGGGACGAAAGAGGGGGAGCTTGCGTTGGGGGAGGGTGGTATCCACCGCACGCTTCAGGTTGTGAGCCAGCTGCTCAAGCAGCAGGAAGACGAGCTTTGGTCCGGGAACGCAGATTGAGACCATTTCTTGCACCCTGGGTTTTCGGCCAGGTTGCTACTAAGTGGTTGGTAGAGTGAGCTGTAAGGGCTCAATTTCCCCACCTTCGGACCCCATACCCTCTCAGAACACTCTAGGCATCCCTTCTCAGGACCCCTTCCAAGAAGGTTCCTTCCGAATCTTTCCTTGAGGTCCTGGGAGGTGCCCCCTTGAGCACGGCCCAAATATCGGTGTGCCTTTTTTCTCGGGTAGGGTTTTTTTTTGGTGAATTTCAATGGTAACCAAAAAACAGGAAAAAAGAAAAAAAAACACACAGAGCCATAATATTGGCTTAGCAAGGCTTACTAAGCCTTACCAAACCTGACCGAGCCTCATTAAGCCTTTTCAAGCCCTTCCAAGCAACCGCCTCCCTGAATCCCTTTATTGTCTCCTGACACCTTTGGTTTCCTCCCGAGAACCGAGATCGGCCTTTTGGCACGTGACCAGACCATTTCAAGCCACGGGGAATTTGACTAGGTTTCTGGAGGTGGGAGGGGAACCTCCCTGGTCAATAGAACAGCATCTGGCATCAGTATGTACAGTTGAATGATGGTATGCAGTTCTCAACCATTTTGGTTTACAGTCCCCTTTGCTCACCCAAGCGAATGGTGCCACGGGTTCGGTGAAAGGACTGCACTTGCCGCGGAGTTATTCCCAAGCTTGCCAATCAGCGACAGGGGTTGGTTGCCAGTTTGTCCAATTCCTGGGTCTTCGTCTGGTGCTCGCAAGTGTGGTACCATGAAACCAGAGCTTAGTCACTCCCTTCTCAATCCCAGAGTTTCTGGACATGATTCTTGTTGGGAAGGCCATTTTAGTGGCGAGTAGTATGATGAAATCGTCTCCGTTGGTTCCACAGTCAAGAAGAGAAGAGTTAGCCAGCCGCAAGTGCAGCATGCTACACTTCCCCTGTGGAAGGAGATCATCCCCGCCCCCTAAATAATGTAGGTGGAACCGGATTTGCACCCCGAACAAGTGGTAGTCTGCAGGTGGGTATGGCTTGTTGGTGTTGTCTTGTGTGTGAAGCGCCCTTTTTTTTTGGGGGGGGGGTGGCTCCAATTCAGACTGATGTTCCACCGCACCAGCAACAGGTGATCGATCCTGTTGCGTGGAGAAGACGCATGATATTTGCCTGAGAGTAAAACGAGCTCACCTGGGTGTTAAACGAGCTCATCACGATGTAGGCTCACGTGGGGATCCCTCATTGCAGTTGTTGGAAACATGGATTGTTGCCCAATTCATTTTGCCTAATTTACTCATAGTTGTGCATCATCACATTAGTATGGCCTAATTTGCAGATGGCATGCCAGCGTGTTCAACCTAAGGCTTCTGTTCGCTGAGGCGAGAAGTCTTGCGCGTTCATGAGCTGGAGGACAGCTGCGCGTGACAACGGAGTGCTGCGCTGCTTGGGCGTTTGATGTTTTTGTGTGGGAGGGCAGAGTATGGCATTTTGCCATATGGCCATGGTTCAAAACCAATGGTACCATTTCAGGATAGGTGCACCACCCGGGGGTACGGGGTTTTGACCCATGGCCATATGGGTTTGTCTCAAAAGGGCACCCTAACTTTTGGTGGATGGCGTTCTGACTTAACCAAGTCAAAAGCCTTGGGTTCCCTCATTTTTGTGCGGGAGGCGTGAGCGTCAAAATTCTGGGTAGTTCGATCACACATCCAGACGCATGATGAGCAGCCTCCCTTCTTATATGACACCAACGCGGAATGGCACAGACCCGTTTGGAAGACTACGTTCTTCTTTGGGTCTATGCACATCCATGTTGTTGGGCTAAAATGTGCGGGTGACTGCCAAACATGCGAAGGAAGCATCACTTTTTTGCGTCCAGGCGCGCGAGTTGCCGCGAGAAGATAGCTCACCAGAGTTGCCGAACAAGAGGGATTCACTCACACAACATGGTGAGTACAGTTGCATTTACGCATGGTGAGTCAGAACACGCATTTACGCGTGTGACACAACAAGAGTTGACAACAGCTGCACCCACGCATGACGCTGCAGCACGCCACACCCCGAGTGTTGCGCTCGATACTCAGGTGATACTCACGGATGTATCCAGCTGGGTTTTGCTCAATGAATAATCCGCAGGGAACAGGGACAAATCCTATCCATCAACATGAATGTACCCGTGGACGATTTCTCCCGGTTCCCGGTAAGCTTCTTGCACTTGCCCACATGTTGAAAATCTGAGCAACCTTGTTTGACATACTCAGTGATGCCGTGCCCCTGCCAAGTAGGTTCCCCAGGGAAAGCGCAGAAGAACCTCAAAAGACAATTGCCAGTTACCTACTGCAGTAAATTGGAGAGAGGCATGCTAACCATGGGTGTGGCAAACATCTTTGTGGCGCCATTGTGCCTAGGATACCCTTTTCAGGGAAGCCAAAACAGAACCACTCGGGTCCGATTCGGTTTAATTTTGTGCCCAAGAATGGCGCACGTCGGCATTCGACAAAGGGGGTCTGCATTGGAGGGGTCCGATTTGGGACGTCTGGATCTTTGGGGTCGGTTTCGGCAGAGTTTTGCCAACCACTGGTCGAGGCCTTGTGCCAAGCTGGCTGAACATGAGCGGGCACATGGACCTCATGCCAGAAGAAGATCAGTTGACAAGTGATCGGCGTGCAAGAAGACCAATTGCGTTGGGCTTTGGCGGTCATGACTGTGTCAGGTGTCTTCGCATAATTTTGACACGCTTCATGCGAACGCATGAACACTCACGGGCCCAGATCTCCGAGGGCGAAGGACTCATGATGTTGTTGCGTTCCTCACGCGGAAAGCTTTGGCTACAGCAGTAAGGGCAACACATCCTGCAAGCTACCAAGCAGACCTGCCCAGGCTTACATCCGCGACAACAATGTGGACCGCAGATGACGTCTAGCTTGTGAATAAATGGGAGGAGTCCCGCGAAAAAATCAATAACGGGGGTCAACATGACCATCAACCAGGGGTTTAACAAATTTGAAGAACCGGGGGTCAACATTACAATGCTAGCCAGTATTTGCAGATTGGCATACCTTAAACTGGCCAAAAGGGACCACCAGGGAAACAGAGGGACCCATGTGTAGGCACGCTCTGGGATGTAAGCCAACTGATCCCTTTGGGGAGCAGCCGCCATGGCAACCGTGGCATTGGAGATGAGGCCTGCAAGACATGAAGTGAGTTCGGCAGGTGTTTTTGTTCTTCTTCTTTTTTGATAAGACCTTTGAAGGATACCAGGGGAAGGGTGGGTTAGGGACTTGCATCTTATATTTTGGAAGGTCCCTAGGCCTGTTGGTTTTGGAAGGTCCCTAGGCCTGTTTGGGTGTTCAGCCAATTCAACAAGTAGACACGTAGGTTACAACCTACATCCGGCGAACTCCACTCGGGGAACTGAAAGGACTATGACCTGGCTCACTACGACTCAAGGGTCCCTATGTGTCCTTAGCAAGTTGATTCATCGCTATTTGAACCAATAGCAGGCAAGATTGTTGTTGGTCCAAAGCTTCCTTTTCTAGGGAACCCTTAGTTTGGGTTGGTGAATAGAACAATCAGGGCTTTCAAGTTGGTCTACTTGGTAGTCACATCTCAAAGGCTCTGCAATTGTTTCAAGGTTTATTGGGGATTATCTCTTCCCATTGAAACAACCGAGATGGCCCCCTGCGCGGAAGAAGTAGAGCAACACCAGCCCTTTGTGCTCGTCCAAGTTTCGTTTCACGGGGTTCCTGAAAGGTTCTCCAAGAATCTGAGCTCTGAGCTGAATTGCAATCAAGTCCCTTCTCTTAACGACCTTGTGCAGGAGTGCTCCCAACCCGAAAGGTTCACCACTGGGTAGTTGGCAGCTAGGGCCTTTTGTTTTGTTTTTCCATGGACCAACTTTCCTCCCTTGATGATTGGGTCCAAAGGAGGAAGCCTTGCACACGAGGCTGCCCTCATTGCCTGGGCCGATGGGATCTTCTCCCGGTTTGGAGTGGTACCTTCTAAAGGACATGGGTGTTCTTCAAAGGCTATCCTTCTCAAGGTTAGTAAAAGAAAACTAAGACTCCCAAAGCGAATCGACCTTTTGACCTTTTTGTTTCCCCTTTTTCTGTGCTATGTCCAAGCTCGCGACTGCATTCCAGCACTAGATCTTCTGGAAATCGTCATTCTTCCTTGAGATGCCTACTATGGACCCGATCCGCACAACTGCCGCCGTGCTCTCCTTCTTGTGTGGAGCCTTCCACATCAAGCTCGTGCACTGCTGCAACGTGCAATGAGGTAAAGAAGAGGAGTACCAACCAAGAGTCTCGGTGGGCGATCATGTAAATACGAAACCTGGTTCTGCTGCTTCTTGGCTTCTCCACGGTTCATGAACAAGTCAAACCAGACACCCGACGAGGCTGGGGTGTTTCCTTTGCTTTTAAGTTCCATGGTTTACCCGTCCAACCACAAACATCGCACTTGTGAGGGAGTACCGGCAAGATGAGGGTAATCTTAGAGAGCAATAATCACGATCATCATAATAATATCAGCATAGTCATATATCATGATATTTGTTGAACTTCGATTTGGTGATGTCTGAAGGGGATGTAAGAAGTTGGGAACATGGGTGTCGTGGGTGTGTATTCTTGGAGTGTACCATTTTTTTTTATTTTAAGGGTGGGGTTTGAAGGGACACCAAAATAATAAACTCACCAGTTTGGGATCTGAATTCCTTTTTTGACACACATACGCACACGGATTCTGACATCGACGTTAGGACTTCCTTGCTGTGGCTCTCCAAGGTGTTGTCCATTACCACCAAGCCACCCCCAGGGGTGTAATCGGATCTACAACCACTATACAATCCCTTCCCTCTATTGTTAAATCCGCCCTGGTTATACCTAGAAAATCGAAATGCCACGAAATCCTAGCCTTTTTTGAAAAAGTATCCTTTTTCCATTGCCGGCCATTTTTTAGCCTTTCGGCCATTCTTCAACTGGCAGTTTAAGCAGGATTATTGTGTTGTTTTTTTGGCGGCTTGTGTCACCCGACTCTCCGCAATTCCGGCGAAACTTCCCGCAATTCCGGCGAATCTTCTCACAATTCCGGCGAAACTTTCCGAATAAGAAACTTGAGTCCATTCCGGCGGCTACGAGTATTACTCTCCTTGAGCCTCAGCGGTCTAATTCCGGCTGTTTTTGCTGATTCCGGCAAATTTCTGTGACTTCGGCTGAAATTTGATGCATTTTCAGATTCCGGCCGAAAGAGTTTCTAGGTATGGTCCCTGTCCAAAGGGTCCCCCTTTTGCCGGGCGCCAAAATCGCCAGAATGGTAGAAGGGAAGTGCTAAAGTGCTGAAAGTACCCCGAATAAAAGCTGTCAGGAGTTTAGTATCGTTTTTACAAAGAGTGAACTTGAAGTAAAAGGGGAGATGTTTTTTTTTTTTTTCCCCCGACTTTGGTACTCACTGATAGGGGTCCGGGGTGGAGATAGTACTAGAAAAAGCGGATTTGCCAGTATATAAGAACTGAATACACCCTGCTTTCCCCCTCAAAAGGTCGTGGTAGGGCTGGAAACGGGATCTCAGGCGGAGATGCGCGCGGCGCCCGGAGGCTCAGAGTTGGTTGCCGCCGTGAAGCGACGATTGTCTCAAACGGGGGATCCCCATTTGAGCCATCAAAACCACAAAGCATATTCAGACAGCTGGGATACATGTGGTAGATCAGTGTCACCCCACTCAAATGCACAAAAGGATAAGGCTTAACCATGAGCCACTTGCTCAAAACCCGGGTGGTTAGGTTAGTAAGGGGCAGTCCCAGCCAGAAATAGTTGCGGGAATCCGCCTTCTTAATTCTTGAAGCATGGTTCTGGGATTACGCCCACAAAAGGAAACGAGCAAATTGGGTGTCCAATCACCAGCCAGCTGATTTCCTGCTTGGGCGGGGTTTTCTCAACTCAAATTAACCACAAAGGGTGTGCCTCTTTGGCCTCTCGCCAAGTTGCGCCGTTGGCCTTGCCTGAATGTGTGGATTGACTCCGATGCGGTTCAATGAGCGGGGTACCGTTTGCTGCCGTTTGCTGCATTCCGCGGTCCATGCCGCTGCAGTTCTGATACGCCATGATGTGAAGCTTGCCGAGGTGCCACCAATCCTGCTGTACCCCCTTTTTTCCTGGGCGTTTCCAAATATTTGCGGGAGGGTAGCCGCTGTGTGTCTGGAACTCCTGAAGGCTTGAAGGGAGATTCAAAGGAGAAATGTGCGCCTCTCAACAAGACACCACCTAGCTGAACATTTGAGTGCTAGATACCCCAACCTGTGGGGACATGTGTTTGTTTTTCCCACCAAAGTCACTGCAAGGGGCCTTGGTGTTCCTTAGTTTTCCTGACGCCTGGGCTCAGACATTGAGAGGACCTGGCGAGTAGTTCAGCGGCTCCAGTTGAATCCTTCTTTTGTGTGGTGAATTTCCCACTAAACATGGCTCAGACGAAAAATCCAACCTCTGTACCAGAAGTATTGCACAACCACCAGGGAAATTTGGGTATGCGCTAAAAGATAAACATGCCGTTCAACTGAGGTTTCTTGCCTCAGAGACAAAATCAATCCCGGCCCTATCCCTACACCCCTCCCTCTCAGCAAGATTCGGTACACACTAAGACTCCTTTTGAGAGGGTTCCTCGGTGAAAAGGGGGGGAGGTGGGATTCTGCGCGCTCGCATGTTTCTTTTGTGGGAGTATGTGGGTGTGGGTCAAAAATAAACCACCAGGAATTGGACCGCAGGTTGCAGTCCATGTTTCCATTTGCCAGGGGTCCATTTTGGGTACCTATTTTTGACCCACAGCCATGTGTGGCATCTCCAGAGCTCTCAGCGATCTGCAGCGATTGGTTTAGGTCCAACAAGCAGCCAGATCCTGGTAGCACAAACGGAGGAAACCGAGCACCAGATCCTGGCACCTCTTCAAAAGGGGAGCAACAGGGATGATGTTTTGGCTAATTGGTGTTTGTACTCTATGGTTAAACCTGGACATGAGTGGGGATTTGATGGCCAAAGAGCCCGAAGCATCGGTCCTTTGCTTAGGTGCCGGGCGATTGCTGGCGCTGGCGGCTGTGGCGCCTTGACCACTTTTCGTGGGAAACAGTTTGGGCCAATTCACGGAAGCGACTTCGACATGCGCCTTTAACCCCTTGTTCAGTGGATTCCACCCTCATCCTTTTCTGTCTTCCTTACTGAGAAAGGTGAGCCCGAAGAAGAGATTTCTTTCGTTTCTTTTTACCAGAGTCAGGTGTTGTAACTGGGGTAGAGCAAAGTGGGAATGACTCTGGCTCCTGATGTTCATTTGCTCAGTTGGCCTTGGTGGCACTCATTAGAGCTTTCGAAGTTTCCACCTCCCGATTCGGTCATATCGGTTAGGGAGCAGACACCAAGACAGGCGTTGTGCTCTTCCTAACTGTGTCAGGGTCACGGAACGATTTGCTTCGGGAGGCTCTTGCCAGAAAAGATCATATCATTTGCTACTCCAAGTCTTGCCCATACTGTTGAACATACTGTCGATGGACAGAATCCTGCACCAAGTAAGAAGCCCTGGAATCATGAGTCCCTTGTAAATACCAACGAACAACGGTTTCTCATGGTTTCCAAGTGGTCCAGGATTTTGTCCATCCACCGTACGGGTTTCGCCTGGGTGACCAGGTGTTCCAAAATCAACATGAATTGCAAAGGGTGTTCCCTCAAATGCTGCAATGATTAGGTGATAAATGTAATGACCTTGTTCAATATGTAGATGAACATGGAGCCACTCCTTTGGGGTCAAGAACAAGAGCGGCTCTCGATGATAAATTCTGGGAATGAATGAACCAAAGGATCGTTTGAAAGGAGACAAGGGGATGGTCCATAGGGCCCTTGCAGGGGAGTGAAGTCATTCTCTCAGTCCCTCAAGTATATCTCCAGATGTGGCTCCTTCATTTCCGCGAGGCTTGCCTGGGCCGAGCCTTTGCCGTTTGGCCTCTCCAAAGAAGAGGCTGGACGGCAACGGATTGGTTTGGGGCCCAGAAGGTGATGTGTGTTCGTTCGTAATATGCGCGTAGGTGGCCTTTTTCGTCAGTTTGAGGAAACGTGTATGGCACTGGTTTCAGTTTGGGTGCAATCATTCACCATTGCCATTTGTCCAAAAGGACACCTTGGGATATGCCTTGTGGGCTCATTGGAACCCAGGATAGACAAAACCCTGGTTGATCAATGGGCAGGCTGAGGCGGGTGTTCCCCTTTTAGAAGAAGGGAACCTTCTTGGGGGGGCGAGCCACGTCCCCGTTAATCTACCAAGGTGACAAAGATCCAGGGTGAACGCCGTTGTTTGAGCTGCGTGTTGGTGCTTCGATGTTTAAAGGGGGCACAGAAGGAGTGTATCTCAGCTGCTTGGGGTTGTTTCTTAGAGGCTTCGGGTTGCTTTGTGGGGTTGGGGGGCCGCGTTGCGCGGGTGGATTTCACGGTTACCACCAGAGGATACCGAACTGTTTTTTGGGGTGGCCCTCGATTCTGGTCAAAGGGTTTTTGATTTGGTTGAGAAAGTGTTATGTAAACATGAAGGGAGCACTGAGTGTGGAATGAGTACAGCCGAGGGTCTCTCAGTTCGAATCAACGCAGGTGCCTTGTCTGCCCGAGGGTGTCCGACCTGCTTGCTGAAACTGGCAAGGTGCAGGCAGACATGCCTCTTTTGAGCCAGAAAAGGTTTGATGTTCATGCGGTGTTTTAGCAGCAGGTGGTGGTTGCTGGTTGTGGTGGCGTTGGCGCCAGGAGCTCCTCTAATGCATGGAAGAGGCATTGACGCCGGCTCGTGGGAAGTGCCATAATTTGCCTCGAGGTCACCCACAATCCTTTTTGCGGTGGTCGCCCATCCAAAGCAAAGCCCTTCCTTTGGCTTCAATCAGATTTGTGCCAAGGTCTTTAGAGCCACCTTGATGTGGGATGATGCGGGTGCGTGGTGTTGCCAGGGTGCCTGTTTGGGGTTTCTTTGAATGGAAGCCCAAAGGGTTTCAAGATAAAGCTAACTCCTTTCTGCAGTTTGTTGTAACAATCAAGGCGCCTTCAAGGTAGTCCTGCACCCCGATCAACACCACCCATTGACTCCTTCTTTGGCAGGGGCCCGCACAGTGTCTTCGGCTTCGGTCGTGGCGGAGGTGGTGACGGAGCGGTTGGATCACGTGACCCGCCAAGAGAAAGTGCCTCGAGTATTTCTGAGTCTCTCACAGTCAGCCCTTTGAGGGATACTCAAATCACTACTCGTGGGAGTGGTTTCCCTTTGAACTGACGTTTAGATGATTTGGAATATGGCGCCTTAATGAAATCAGAAATATAAGGGGCTACCCCCCTGCAGATCGACATGGTACCCCAAAAGTGGCCTTCCTGTAGGAATCCTTCTTTTGGGGGGAGACCCTGGTCGCGTTCCATGTGAATTTGCAGGGTAGTCTCTGTGATCATGACTGGGACCCATTCCAGTTCAGGCCCTTGTAGTTTGGCGTCCTTTCTCTGTGTCAAGGTCTCTCTTTGAAAACCGATCCAACGGTGTGTGTGTGTGTGTGTTTGTGTGTCTGTGACCTTAGGCAGCTTTTGAGCGCCTTGACACATACTCATATGGATCTTAAGTTGCCATCGCTTTCTAAGGCAATCGAACTCTGGCCACTTTGCTGGCTCTCACATCTGGGCTTTTGTCCTGTTTGGGGGACGCACTGGCCGCCTACTTTGGTTACATTTGGATGTCGTTTAATTCTATGTGTCGGTTACGCCTCCTTGTTTCCTTTGCCTCTAATGCGGAGAGGTCGTGCAGTGCAACTTTGCATCCAAGTGCAGGTTCCACTCCATTTGGGCACTGGCGTGCGATGTCCGTGCAGGATAGTTGACTCTCAGTTGACTGAATGGTGTGTCTGAGATCGTCCGAGTGTGTTGTGCTTCAGGCTATTTCAATGTGTTTTACAGATTACTCCCCCGTGATTTAATGTAGAACCGAACAAGTCATCCCATTCTTTTTGAGCAATCTCTGTTTGGTAACCTTGGTATTTGGTTCCATGTTGCTTGCAGGAAGTATTCCCCAGATAGCGAAAAGGGGGCTGGGTGCTTGCAGATGGTTGTGTTTCAAGGCATAGGTGAAGTTTGGGGACTTGTGGTGTGGCAAGCTGCCAAGCGCTCGCTTGCTCCCCAATAGGTTGTTCTCCTTGTGCCCAGGCCGTGGTGGCTTCTTTCTGTTGTAGTACATCCTTATGCCACAGTTTGGCAGTGGCTGTCTTGTTCTACGAAGCTCAGATCCTCAAAGTTTCGTTGTGTATTCGGCTAATGTTCTGCAGAATTTCCATGAATGGCCCGTGCTAGTTTTCGTGATGTAGACGTGTCCCACGAAGGTTTACAGAAAATCGGATTATGAACCTTCCATTTTCAACAACCGAAGTCCTACCACCACGCTTTTGGATGCCCGTGAGGGGACTTCTATTCCTTGGCTACAGGAGCAAAAGATGGGGGCTGGTTAAGGAAAGAAATTGGGTGAAAGTAGACGTCACACTTTAGCTTCATAATCCCCCTTACCCATCATCCCTCCTACCAACCAACAAACAGGAATTCGTGCCATCTACTTTCACCGTGCACTCGGGCATCCTTATGTTCCTTGGGTTTTTTGGTTTAAACGCCACCTTCTCAAACCAATCTGTGGGGTCGTGCGTAGGTACTTCCGGTGGGCCCTGCCTGCCCCTTCCGATCACCAGCCATGGCGCCCTGGCATTTGTTCAAAGCGTACCCCTGTGAGCCACAATGAAAACCCGAGTAGCAAGGTTGGCAAGGGCAGTCCCAGCCAGAAAGAGGTGCGACCACCTTGTAATTTCCGTTGATTGTGACTCCAACAATTAGCGGATTGCGGACGCAGTTTACGCATGGAACTGTGCGCTTTAGTTACGGATTACGGATTCTGGATTGCATGGGTTTTCAATGCTCCAGCGTTTGCATTTCGAGCACGTACTATTCGAGCAGGTGACAGATAGACTGTGGATGGGCAACTTACTGAAGGGCTCCAATCATGTCGAGCCAAGATTTCTCAACCTAGCTGGATTGGTGCCCTCCCCAAACAGTAGGCCTTCTGCTTAAATGCGTCCCTAATCAAAGTCAGCCAGAACGTTGATTACTCCTGGGTCAATATGCGTGGGCCCAAAGGTCATTGGCTGCCCATCAGGCAGAATCTATCCCAGTGCTTTCAGTCAGTGAACATTTCTAGACAACGCAAACCGGCGCTTGCAAGCCAAAGGCACAAAATCCAGGCAACCTCTTACAGTTGCTTGCTGAGGAGGTCCAGGCTACCCAACAACTTGGGGGTTCATGCCGAAAGCGACAAATCTAGGCCCTCCCCCAACCAACTAAAAAGGTTCGATCCGAACCCTGGTCTGCTTGGGTTAGAGTCAGCTACAGGAGACAAGCCACAACCCACCAAATCGCAGCCACGCCCTCAGTAGCACCCTACTATGGGAAAGACTAGACTATCCGGGATTCCTTGGAAGGACCTGGGCCCCTCCAACATACCTTTGGAGCATAGCCCAACCCGGGCGTCTCGACCCTAAGGTGCAGGGGCACTTTGAGCAGGACATGGCCATGGTCATGCTCAACGCTCAGGGCAAAGCAGGCGTCGCTGCGCCGCTTCGCTTCTGCGGCTTGAAAAAAGGCGCATTGGGAACATCTTGATGGGGATTGTTTGAGTAATTCGCGGTCCTGGTCCGCTTGAAACATCTTTAAACCCATGGTTCTTGTTGGGAGTAAACTCAAAACCACCCCTAACCTTCAAACTGCCAATAAACCACCAACTAGATGAAATGCTTCAAAGTCGAAGGACGAGGGTGACCCAGCAGCCGCTGTTGCTGCACGCCTGAAAAAGCTGCGTCATCAGGGGCATCTTGATTTTCAGTGCAAATCTGGAGCTCAGCAAAACTCAAGGACAGGGAACGCCAACCATTTTTGGCAGTCTCCGCACTCCCCTGTGCATATCTTTCGGCCCACAAATGGGGACCCTTTCCCCTAAAAAAAACATCCAAAAGAAGATGGCGTGTCACGTGAATTTGCAGGATGGTGTTTTTGGTGTCCAAACCTCGGGATGAAGCCCTAAGGCGGTTTCCTTGAAGTTATTGTGAGGCCAACCTAATTTGGGGAAGCCCTTTTTTGCAGTTGCGCTTTGGCTTAGACACATGTTTCAAAGCTTCCCAGAAGGACGCACAGAGAAAGTTTGTCTCGCCCAAATGGTTTCTCGCGCACTTCATCATGCAATGTATTTTAACCAGCCAAGGCCCCAAAACTTGACATGTTGGAGGCTTTTCCAGTGGGCCTCAGCCCCATGCCCAGTTTCACAAGTTCATCCTTTTCTTGAGATTCACGTCAGGTTCCTTCCTTGGCCCCCCAAGACACTCCCCAAGCTTGCCATGTTGTTTTTTTCCTAGATTGCAGTGCCCTTAGCCCTTCACCCACCCATTGTTTCTTGTTCAAGCTGGAAAGGCCGACAACCAAAGACGCTTAAATTGCAACATTTGTCGGATTTTCCAATTGTAAGCCATGTATGTTGGGTACATCAATGGTTTCCGATGCTCGAGAATCGTGCCTTCTAATTACCTCTAGCGCGTCGCTCTATTTTCCGATAGTGTCGTAATTCTAAGTGGATCTTTTGATTGTGCAAAACAGCCACTCTTAACCCTAGCTACCATGATGGTAAATGGGAGGAGGGGGCGGTGATCGCATGTTTACTGGCCGGGGCAGGAAAGGGTTGGTGGATTGTCCTTGGCTGTGGCCGATGCCCGTTGAACTTCGAGCTATGCCGAAACAGAACACAAATGCAACCCGGTAGGACAGTGGCGCCCTTGGTTCTTTTTTGTGCGGAGTGTTTCCTCTGAAATCAGCCAACACGAGACATGGAATCACAACAAGCGCCTCGAAGGCTTTAAGACGTGGGTTAAATCCTTCTTTACCCCAAAACCAACCAACACAACCGGAAAGGGAGGGTAAAAGCCAGCCCGCGCCCTCAAGAAGCCTGTTCTAGGGAGGCTCTAAGCAACGTTTTGTTGACATCATTATTAATATGCATATGGATATGAACTTCATTAGGGAACCACCTCACAAGTGGTTGGTGGACATGAATCCCCACCTAAATGATGTCCACCAAAGAGTCCGCTATTACAAATCACACCCATATAGGTTAATTGCGATTGTCTTGGGATGGACGAAAAGGGGGACAGCTCAAATGCCAGAAAGCAACACCCGATCAGGTATTCTTAGGGACATACACTACTGGGCTCCCTAACAGATACAACTTGGGCCATCTAAATCAAGATGTGAGCCTCTAAATCAGGACCCCTTCCCGGCCGCACAGCAAAGACCCTGGGGAAGGACCGCTCCATGGGGGCCAAGGCCCCTCTGGACGCCGGTTGCCAATGCTGTTCTGAGTTTCCTTCTGGCGAAGTGCCTTAAGGTTGGACATATGGGTATGGGTCAAATTTAAATCACCAGGAATTGGAGCACAGGTGTTAGTCCAGCTTTCCATTTACCAGGGCTCCATTTGGGGTACCTATTTTTGACCACCACAGCCATATTCCTGGAGCCGTGAGCATTGAAACCTCGTCGGGACCCTGTGAGCCAAGATCTACTTTGGGTGCCCTTTTTGGGAAGCAGCCTAGGAAACACAAGGCAAACCACATTTACAGGAAAACCACAAGGAAACCAGGGTAATTTACAGGGAAACCACAAGGAAACTCGGGTAATTTACAGTGAAACCGCAAGGAAACCAGGGTAATTTACAGGGAAACCACAAGGAAGCAGCCCAGTTGGGTGGTCGGAATCCGTTGACACGTGCCCACTTTTGTTTTTCTCGAAAGGCGACTTTGAAGCGCTGGCGCGGCAGATCCAAGCAGGCGCGAACTGCAGTTGAGTGCATTTTGCTTGGCTGTTAGGACTTTAACTTTTTGCAAACTATTGGGTTTTCCACTAAACCATCAAAACTTAAACTTTTAGCAGGGGAGCAGAAAGCAACCGAGTTGGGGCTGTCAGAAGTTGGGATGGATGATTCCAACTGCGAGTGCCTAGCTGGAAGGTTTGGGAGCCGAGCTGGGGGTATCTTTGGAATTGATTAATCAGGGGGGCCGGGCCCCCCGGATGAGGGGAAGGCAGAGAAGGGAAAGGAGAGGAGGGAGAAGAGGAGCAATTTCAAAGCAACTTGCAGATGCAACATTGGATTTTCCTCTGGATATTTGATGCTGCTGGTCTGCATATATGGTGTTTTTTGGTCGGCTCTTATTCCGGGGGAAGGGGGATCGGGAAGGGTTTAACGTTCGAGGCCTGTAGACTAAAAGTAGCATTGGGTAAATTGACAATAAGTATTCCACTTTTCCAGGATCCGGGTGGACCACGCCATTCGCCCCTGGCGATTTATTAGTCAAATCTAAGAATCTCCAAATTCCTCTTAGAGGGAGCTAAGGAACTACCAGGATGCAGTTACCTTGCTGCTTACCTTGCTGCCCTTCTGCCTTTTCGGGTTTTCGTCAGCTTCCCTTTTAACCAGCAAATAGATATCCTTTTGCCAAAGGGTCAAGTCTGGTCCAGTCATGATCAATCATGTTTGCAATGGTCAAAACAGCCTTTCATTTGGATTTGCTACGGCCTTTAGTAGGTGTGTTTGATAATGAATGGCTCTTACTACACGGGACGGGACCACGACTGACACAAGAAGTTGTGACCATCGCACAAGGGACATAGTTGCATGCCCAAGAAGGATGAGTCAGGGTGTTTGAAGCATATGCGGCCCCTGGCTCAGGCACATGGAACAGGTTGCCCCATATTGCTTTGAATATGATTCCTGATGATGATGATGATGATGATGATGATGATGATGATGATGATGATGATGATGATGATGATGATGATGATGATGATGATGATGATGATGATGATGATGATGATGATGATGATGATGATGATGATGATGATGATGATGATGATGATGATGATGATGATGATGATGATGCTGATGATGATGATGCTGATGCTGATGCTGATGCTGATGCTGATGAAGCTGATGTTGATGTTGATTAATGATGATGATGATGATGATGATGATGATGATGATGATGATGATGATGATGATGATGTTGATGATGATGATGATGATGATGATGACAATGCTGCTGCTGCTGCTGCTGCTGTTGCTGCTGCTGCTGTTGCTGACACTGAGGTTCATCCTACGCTTCGCCCTTTGTGGCTGAACATATTCCAATCCGTAGGTTTGGGGTGGAATGTTTCCGGGATAGCCAGGTGGGACGTCGGGTCCTGACGTTCGGCAAGTTTCCCATGAGGCATTCAACCTGATCCCAGGCAGCAGCGGAAGGCGGGCGGGTCAAAAATTGGGTAACCCCAAAATGGGTTGCCCTGGCGAATGGAAACATGGACTAAAACCTGCGGTCCAATTCCTGGTGGTTTAATTTTGACCCATGCCCACATGGAGGTGTATGTGTTTGTTCACCTTGGTTTGAAGGAAAACGGGAAAACCACCAGAGTCACCCAATTTCGACATACGCAATACATGTGTTTGGTGTCTTTTTGTTTCCCTTTGTCAGGGACCAGAGTCCGACCCTTGTGACGATCTGGCTGGAAATGGCTTTGCAATTTCAAGAAGAACTTGTGTGATGGCGGGAGAGAGTGTAAGCCTACCTTCATCAGAGTCAACATTTTGGGTAAATGTCATGCCTACCATCTACAGGGTGGTTTTGAGATTGTTACTCTTAGATTATTTGACCACGTAAACATCATGTTTAGAGTCCTTTGACTCAGCTGACTGAGGGCAGGAGATGAAAAATGGAGACATATGTACGTGCCATGGTCAAAAGAATAACTATGTTTGGGATTGAGAGAGATTGCCCTCAATCCTTTCGGCTGAATGATGAACATGTTGCTTGGTCTACACTGGACAAGGAAATCATAACGAGCTCATGATAAAGGTTCCTGCGGCTTCCTGATGTCCATGGGCATAGTAGTGCGCAAAGACCACGAGCCGCGAAGTACTCGCACCCTTTTGGTTTTGCGTGGGGAACCCTTCAAAGCAGCCCCATGCATTTTGGGTCGTCCGATTTGGAGACAAGCCTCAGTTGGGAGCCCCAAAGTTTAGGCGGCCATGTCGCCAGGTGGGCTACGATCTGAAGCAGCAGGCTTCGGGTGGCATCGATGGACCCGCGCTGTGGGATTTCATTCTGGTTTCCGAATCCTGGGTGCTACTGTCTGTTGCCACTGTATTGCACATATTTTTGTTCATATTCCCAAGAGGAAGCTGAAGAGATGGGCAGATATTGGTTCTAAGACAAAACCCCGGGTTGTCAAGGGTAGCTCTTCTGCTCGTTGTTTGCTTGTTTCGCTGTCGGAGCTTGCCCGCCGTTGGGCTCCGGGGGATTGGAGCGCCCGCCAGCGCCCATCCAGTTTCATTTTCCATCTTTGCAACATGTCCTGAGTTGTCTAGATGGTCGAAGAATCAATGGAGAGGCATGGCGGACTCCGAGTTTTTACAGGGCCGACACAAATGTCCTCGACTCCTCTTGGGGAAGGGAAGTTTAGAACAGAATGACCATGGGTCAAATGGTGAACTCTCCGCGATTGTGGATTTCCCGGCTCAGCATTTGATACCAAGAAGGCCCTACAAACAGCTCAAAGCCCTCTTTCGACGCAGGGGAGGAAGGGTCAGCCTGGGAAAGGGGGTTCCGAAATGAGGTTTTGCCCAGGCCCCTTTTGGGCTTCGGAAGTGTGCCACCAAACTATGGCCATGTCGGGCTCGACCCAAAATCTAGTGGCTACATCTGCGGGCTCGGGATCTAGCCGCACGCGTGTTCTCTTAAAGGATATAGCGTTGCCTTTGGCTTCTGGAACCCAACTTGGTTGGTTGCGTATATATATATATACACATACATACACACATGCACACGAGCAGCTGACAATATTGCTTGCAACACGCTAACCCCATCGGGGCTACCCAAATCCGATTCCCATACCCCAGTACTATTGTCAGCAGCTCATAGAGGTTTGGCCAATCTTTGGTTCATTTTGGAGGACATGAGGGGCTCGCTACCCTTCCCCGCAAAATCCAAAGAAACAACTCACGACTTTTCCATGACCAGTTGGGTAGCAGCCGCTTTGCCCGTGCGAGGGGGAGTTGCTCAAGAAGCTTCTGGACGGCATGGAGACGTCCTCGGACTTCCAGGCGACGTCTTTCGGACGCCCAAGGGAAGAAATTTTGAGCACCGGTGTCTTACTTGGGGTTTGGTGAAGAAAAATGAGTGCCCTTCGTTTCCCAAAGGAGTTCTACTCCGAGAAACCAGTGCCGACTATTATAGATGGCTTTCCCATAGGACACCTAGGATTGGAGGGGTTCTCGAAATTGATTGGAAAGCGGAAAGCGGCTTGTGTTTGAACCACTTGCAAAGGTTTTTTGTCAAAGAACCAAATCAATCCAGTTGCGATTAGTTGCGGATAGGACCAGCAAGGAGTTGGAACCACCTGCCGAATTACCTCAAGAGCTAAACCAGTCCCTTTCTTTGTGAACGCCTTTATCCAACCTCTTTTCTTATATACATATATACATATACACATATATACATACAGATATATACATGCGGTAGGACCAAGGTTTTCCACACTTCAATTAAAGCAACAACCTTGGTATTGAGAGGGGGTCTTAGCATATACATACATATATATATATATGTATATATGTGCAGCAACTGCAAGGCATCCAGAATGTGTCCGCAAGGCGTTTTTTTTCTTCTTCCCAGCCCAAGGCCTCCCTAGCTCTTCCTAAGGGTCCCTTCACCTATGCATTTTTGTCCTGCCGCAGATTTGTCAGGGGATTCCTTGTCTAATCTTTCAAGGCTTCGCCTAGGCCTCCCCAGTGGGGCCTTTGGTAAGGCGAAGCTTCCGTAGGGCTTATTGAGCCTGTGCAGAGGCACTGTAAGCTAAAGCGAGAGCCAAAACGAGAGGGGGTTGGGCCGTTGGGCTTCCAAATCGATTTGTCCCTATGTTGGCCTGCAATCCTGCGGATGGACAGTATTTGTTTGGCTTTCACACATCCCCGCAGGATTCTGTCCATTCACAGTGTCACCTTCTGGACACAATTAGCGCAAGTTTCCTTCGGGAGTTTGACTCAGTGTCTTGCCACATTTCTTGTGGGTTGAGCCTGATTGTTTGGAGGGTCAGCTAGGGAAATTGCAGGGCACCCATTTTGGGGAAGTTCGGAAGAATGGAACCACACTCATGTGGCCCATCTAGTGTTTGCTACAAATTGAGCTGTGCACATGAAATCTATCTCCCAGCTGCTTTGTGTGGCAATTGCCTCTTTCGTTTCTAGTGGCCCCCGTTTCAGGGATGTATTTGTTGCTGGTGCTGAGAACACACAGTTTGAACAGTGGTGTTTCGACCCCGGGAAGATGGGCAACAAAGTCCCAATAGTTTACAGCCGAGTTCATTATGCCCCGCAATCCAATTCCAATTATTTGGGCTCTCCTACTGCTTAATTGTCTCAAAATAAGGGAATCCATGAATTTGGGGGGTGTTCGTTGATTTTTCTTTAAAGCAACCCAGTGCTTCCAGTTGCCACTACAGTGGGCAACCAGCACAAACCATCATGTAAAACAAGGTGCTGGAAGCACTGGGGAGGACTATATGTTTGGACAAAAACTAGCTTGAAGTGCCACTCCAAAAGCAACATATCTGGCACTGACCGGGCGACATGACCAGTGACCTTAAACTTGCAAGGGGTACCTCAAGAGGATCAAGGGCCGCTTTCGCTAGCCCAGAGGGTCCCTTGGTACCTCATGATGGCTCTTGGGGTAAAAAGGGGTCCTTAGAGTACCTCCTTAAACTCACTTCCTGAGTTCATGAACTTTAAACTTTTTGGGAAGACCATTTTAGTGCATGGTAAATATAAAGTTTGGACTTTTTGGGCCATCCACTCCGCCAGTGAGTAAAAGGTACCAAGGGCCGCTTCGCAAGGTGATGGAGACCTTCGTGGTCATGGAGACCAAAGCGGTAAAGATGGGCGCGCCCTCTGCGCGCACGGTGCCCACCTCGGGCCTCAAGCTGGGTTTGCCTTTGGCGAGGGCACCTGTTTTTTGGGTGGCTTGAGAGGGGGCAGGAAACCACCCCTTGACCCCTTGTGGCGAATTTATGTTTCTATTTTGAGACACGCTGATTTTTTTTGAGGGAACTCTCCAAAGGGTGGTTTCCCTTTGTTGTCCCTTTGCCACAAAGCAGGAAACCAAAAAAGGCAGCCTCACACAGGACCTGTGTCCCTGTCTCGGAAGTTTTGCGGCAAGGTTTGTTTTGCGGACGATATGCGGAAGGTTTTTGCGTTAAGCAGCATAGGTTGCAACAGAAGCCTAAAATTAACAACGCTGCGGAAGAACAGTTCACTCTGCGGGAGCTTGCGCAAGGGTGAGGGGAAGGCTGAAACTCACACGACAGACAAAAAGCAACCTCACATGGCTCAGGTGGTTTGAGTGTCAAAACTCTCATATTCTGCAGGGGTTTGAGGGTTGAACTCAACAAGCCACGCATGGCTCGCTCAGAATTTGTGGACTTTCGATTTCAGGGCTCAACCAGGTACAGTGGCTGGAGATGAGCATGGAGTTGCATGTTTTATGTTAAGCCTCCATAGGCTGTTTACAACTCGTGGCTTTCAGGCAGCCGATGTCGAAGCGGCTACTCGTTTTCTTTTGAGTCGGTCATTTGGCAAGTTGGGCAAGGGGCCCAGAGGTTCCTTGCTCAGCATTCTTACTTATCTGCACAGTGGGCAAAGTAGCACTTTGCGTTGGCAAGTGTCTTCATCAGTTAAGGCCTTAATTTTGGTTTGTTCCGGCCAATGCAGTCAACAGGTCAGCATTTGATACCCGCAGTATAGGGAATGGATCCCGAAACACTCATGAATCAAAATGCTTTCAGCGTGTTTCCTACATCAAGAGGCGTCATCGGCTCCCACCCATCCAAGAAGCTTATAAGAGATGTTTTGTGGGTCGGTCGTTGGCTTTCTTCCTACGCGCTTGACGTGGCCATGAGTTTTTTAATAGGCAACCTCAAAAGTCTGAATCCCGACAGACGGTCCCATATGTACACCCATACTTTACACCCATATTTGACAGGGCTCCTTAAAAGATACATGTTGCCCATTTGAAACATTGCTTTTTCAACACCAGAATAAAGGGAAGCCACAATTTACAAGGCAATGTTCAGGTGTATTCACTGTAAGGATCCCTGTTTTATACCCACATTTTTTGGAATCAACCGAAGACCCCTCCCCATGTTGCCGGCTCAGAGGTGGAGAAGATGACCAACTGGCAGGCGGAGTCAGCGGCGCGATTTTTCGCTGGGGTCGAAGTCAGTTTAGAGCCGAAGAATCTGTGGAACTCCGTATTTGTAGGGAATTTATGAAATGGGGGTGTTTTGGTTTTAGCATTCGGACTTCCAAAAATGATGGTGGTTTTCCTTTTGGTTTCCCTTTCAGCCGCAAACAAAAACACCCCCAAGTGGTTGCAGGGTGCCATTTTTGATTACCCAGCCCAGGGGGTTGTTTTTCCTTCTAGGGGGCCACTGAGTTTGAGTTGTTTCGGAGAAATCAACTTAAAAATCACCCTGAGTGAGTGTGTCGTTTCTGACAGTACGGCTCAGCAAAAGCAGAGGGATGTATCCATGTTTCCCACTGGAAGTTTCCAGACGGTTTCGACAAAGTACTATTTCCGAAATTGTGCCCACATCCAACATTGGCACTAAGTAATGCTGGCAATGTGTTTTTTTTATTTGACCAAGACAGCACCTGTGGGCGAATCAACGCCGCATCTACATCGCAGGAAATGCTTGGCGGTGCGCCGAACTGGCTAGGCCCAGGCCCTCACAGCCAAGCAGCCTCCGTGCTGGAAGCTAGCAACCCTATTATCGGCCGCAGATAGGCAGTGTCACGACATAGCACAACCGCCCTTGGTGCCCCAACCATGAAGATAATCTGGCTTGCGCTTGCTTTGTCCGGTTCGGAGGGAACCAATAGCAAACGCCCATCACAAACATATGTGAAGGCTCTTCTGGTTGTCAAAAGGGTCTTCTAGCTTGTAAGCCGACAGTGTCTCAAGGCAGTTTGTTCGGTGCTGCAACAGTGCACATGTGGCAGGCTCCTCCATGACAGAATTTGACCATTGAGTTGAAGCACAGGCTGGACAAGTCCTGGCATGCCTTCGATTGCCATGTCAAATCTAAGCTTGCAAAGGGTCAAACCTAATAGATCGTAACCACCCGTCAGTCATTTTCTCCTTGAAGCAGGAAACACGAACTCTTCTTCAGGGCTCCTTAAAAGATACATTTTGCAACCATTTGAATCATGTGGCTGTTTCAACACCAGAATAAAGGGAAACCACCATTTACAAGTTGCAATGTTCAGGTGTATTCACTGCATCCGGATCCCTGTTCTTCCCATGTTCGGGGCAAACTGCCATTGTCGCAGTGGCCGTGTTCAGGGCACCGCCATCGTGGCAGAAGCCGAGGGCATGATGGTGCCTCCACCCCCCGAAGGTTGGGCTTTGCGAATCTTGGAGCCCAGACCTTCCAGCGGAATGTGGCGGTTGTCCACTTTGGTTTGGAGGGTCACTTCCATTTGCTTAAGAATATTTGTTTTATTTGCCCCTGTTGGTGTTAATGGGAATCTATCACTACTGGAAATATTTTTTTCCAGGGGGCTTAAGCAAATGGCAGGTCATGGGCAGAGGGAGTTGGATTGGGATCTGGTGTTCCTTGGTCACCCATTTTGGGTGGAATCATTCGAAGGTGATGCTAATGAGGGGCCAGGAGTACTAAATTTCAAACGTCTGGTTGATTGCTGGAGTGTGCCATCTGAGAGGGGATCTGGAGCGCTTTTGGTCGGAGCATTCCCCCTATGAATGCGTGTTGAATAGCCTGGGGTCGAAAAAATGTGGATTCCAGACGAGTGTTTGCCCTTCTCCAAGCCTTACTGAAGATCTCCCCCCCCCCGCAATTAACATGGGTGTGAATGTTAATCGGGGAATCCTGGGTGGACATGAAATTTGGTTGGGTATTCATGTCCACCAACAATTGTGAAGGTGGTTCCAAGTCTTTATATAAGAGTCGCCAGTCAATCGCGGGCGCCTCGTGCTTTGGCATGGATTTGGTGGTGACGCACCAAAACTCCAAACCGACTTCCCGACTTCTCGACTTCTCTTTGCACAGTTGTTTCGGGTGGATCAACATACAGGTGCCGCTTTTAGAATCATGCCACTGCCTTAACCATCGAGAGCAACAGGCGGTTGATGCTCCTCTGGCTATGTTGAAGAGCCATTTTTTGTTGGGGACGTAGGTACCTGTTTAGGTCGGTTCAATTAAATATAGATCGAATCAACTTGTTATTGGTTTCGTGCATTCATTTGCCAGTGCCATCCATCGACTTGTTTTTTCTTCTCGAAACGGGCTCCTGCTTATATGGCCCAGCCGGTAGCCAAGTGGCTAGCAGTCCCCCCAGTTAACCCCCAGTTAACCTCCTCCAAGACTCCGCCGCCTCGGGTTACTCACCGTTTAGCAAGCACCCCCAGACCATCTACGCTTGCTGGGTTTCAGGGATCAATGTCGGTTTTTTGGGGAACGCACCTTCCCCTTAAAGGACAGAAGAGGGGATCATAGGGGTCAATCCAACTCATTTCTTGTGAAATAGTGGCTATATGGTGGCTGTATAGTGTTTGTACATCCCATGAACCTCCCAGGGACTTCTATAAGGGGATCCTTGCTAGGCTCTTGAGGGTAGGGCAAACTCATCTTAATGGGTGCCAGAGCTTGCATTTACAGCTACTGTATACTAGCCTTCGCAATTGCCCTTGCAGCGTTTAAGGGGTGAATCTTTGGTTACCTATGTTGCCTACTATACAGCCATGTGTTGAAAAAAGGGACCCCCCCCAAAAAAACAACACAAGTGGTCTTCCCTTTTTGGTTCTCTTTTGTACCCCAAACACTCTACGGGTACCCCCCCCAAAAAAAAACACACACACACACACACACTTGTGTCCCAGCAAAGCTGGTCTGCAGAGATTTTCTCCAAGGGTCATCAAGCAGCCAATCTTCGGGAACACACACCTAGTAGCCCAGACAGAATGGACTCACCGGAACTACCGGTCACAGGTGTGGACCCCGTGGCTCTGGCGCGCGCCACGCCTTCTGGCGGGGCAGCCCGGAGATGTCTAACGAAACGGTCTAATACCCGCAGCTCGAAAGGCTCCAGGGAGAAGGACGCGAAGCGCTTTTTCCACGCGCTTGTCCCTTTGGCTGGTGGTAAGAGGAAATCGGAAATGATTCAAAAGGAGACCAAGCAGTTCCCCAAGCACTTGGATGTCAACATTCATGTGGGTGCGGCTCAAGATTAAAGAACTAGGGTTACGCAGGCTTAGTCTTTGGTTCCATGTACCAAGGTGCCAATTTGGTACATTTATTCAAGCCACAGCCATATGGGCATGTGTTAAAATAGGGGGCCAACAACATGGTTGGTCTCCCACTGGTTTCCCTTCTGGGTTGTCGGATCACTCGGGGTTTATCCGACCACTTCTGTGATACAAGTTGAAATCTCCGCCTTGAAAAGTCGGGGAGGTTAGTCTTTGGGGTTAGGCCTTTTCTGTTGTATCACAGAAGTGGATGCCATTTCGACCACAGCCCTGAAGTAAACCAAACCTTACCACCCCTTGCCAGACCCCCCCACTCTCCAGAAAATTCGATCTGGACCCTTCGATCAAAAGAAAAGGAGGGTTTTTGAGGCTTCCTCCCAATCTAAGTGCTAAGCAACAAGTTTCGTTGTTGGTTGCCATGCCACTGAGGAAGTCAGAATTTGGTTGCGCATGAGTGGTTCTACGGGTTGATTCTCCATCATTCCTTTGAAGGCTATGCTCAGCTTCCTGGTGTTTCGCATTTGCCTGAAAGAAGGATCCCTGGAAAGATCCCTGCTAGAGTGGCGATTCACTCCTCACATGCTGGTGATTTGGTGAGTGGATGCGATTTGCCCAATGCCATCCCCTTCTCTAAACCAGATGGTACCATGCAACCTTTATTTGCCAGTTCCTGGAAACAAGTGATTTGTTCTTGGTTTGTTCTTTAGTGTACCGCTTTTGTCCTTTTTTGTTTGGAGGGGGCTGGAAAGAACAGGAGTTTTTTGCCGACATATGGCGGATGCCAAGCAAGGGAACAAGAGAATTCCTGCTTTCTTACCGCAGCGTTTTGTGGTTAAAGGTGGTGGAGCAATCCTCCGTTCCCCCTGCTCCAAAGACACATTTATTTTACCGTCGGATGTTAACCCCTGACTAAACAAGAGGGACACCCAAACAGCGAGTATTTGGGGTATGTACCCAGAATGGTGGATCGGGAGTCAAGCCCTGGTTCTCGAGGGTAGATCGGAATTGTCCTTTTGAGGACAAGCTGAATTTTGGCTGGGGCTCAAAGTCAGAAACGGAGGCTTTTCGCCTGGATTCCACCGGTTGGTCCCGCTTGGGAGAATATATCAGCCCGTTCAGCAAATTTGCTGTAGGGGGGTTTTATCAGCACCCTCGGAAACCCCCCCAAAATGGTCCAAAACGGTCAGCCAACACCACGCGGGGGTTGTGTTTTGTGGTGCCTGAGGGCCCTGCAACAGTACCAGGGCTACAAAAAGTTGCGGAAGATCTCAGGTGCGCAGGGCTTCCTGAGGCCGGGCTCGGATTCGGCGGATTCGGCGGATTCGTTTTTCCACTGCGCCTTGGGTTCCCAAAACAGGATCAAACGCGTTCCTCTCTGTGTTTTCTCAGGTTTCCATTGATTTTCCTAGAGGCCAGATGTCTAGAGTTTTTGGCATTTGGAGTGGCCCAGTGGGCTCAAGATTGGTTTGGCGACTTCTTGGAAAAATGATTTGAATCCCAGCTTTGGGACTGACAGTTGACCAAGTTTGTTGGTGACCACTCTTTGCGAACTGGTGGACTCCCTGGTTGCCTGCCATTGAGGGGCTGATAGTAAATCCCTGGTTCATTGGTTTTTTTTACGGGGCCCGCGGATCTAGGAAAATCTTCCGAGCCTCCGCACCTCTCGCTGGCTCGCCAGTGCGCCCAACGCGCCCCGGGTGCTTCCCTTCGAGGCGAGGTTTCAGGGGCTGCAAGGGCAGCTTTCTGCAAGCACTGTCAACTTTGCATTTGTCAGAAGGGAAGGCTAACTTTTCGGTGGGTGAATTCATGTCAGGATTGGATTATTCGGTATCGCGTATTTTCCTTTTGGCCAATCTGCAGACAATGGTATGCTTACAACCCAGGCTTTGGTTTGCGTAGGACGTCACCACAAGATTTGACTGGCACACACACATGTTTAACGGATTCCCGATTCAGAAACTGGGCTGGATTCAGAAACTGAAGACCGACCTTTGGGATGGATGCCAAACTTGTCCTATCATCGGTTGCATGGTAGTATGGGGTTCTACTGTACTTGGCTAAAAACTGGGAAACCACCCTCCACTTTGAGGGACCGACTAAAACAAGAGCGCCCTACAATTGCAGCGATCCACATTTGTCCAAACCACCTTCACACCATATATGTTTTCCCTTGAAATTACCTTTAAGCCGCCACTCAGAATTTCCGAGGGTACATTCGAGGATGCTTTTGCGAACCGCTTTAAGCCACGTGTTTCCAGTTGAACCACCCCTTAAACAACCAAAAGGGAGGGTACAGTCCGGGATGTCACCCAGTGAGGAGCCTGGCTTCCCGGACACCGTGGAGGGCCAAGAGCTGAAGGCGAAGCAGACTTCGATGGAGCGTTTGATCGAGGGCGATTCGCAAAATGTCTTGGGCCTGAGGGTGCCCCTCTTTTGTGACGCTTTTCAAAGCTGGTCCCCCAGTAGTGCCATTTTACCCTTTTTGGGGGGATGGTTCCAGTACTAAAAGAGACTACAGAACAAAGGGTACCCTTATTCTAAGCTCTCTACTGGAGGACCTAGAAAGGGACACCACTTGGGATGTGGGCGGCCCTAACAAAAGAGAAAGACCCCCGTACTGTAGATGGTTAAAGAAACACACCGATCGGCAGTTGGATGAAACCCGATTTGAATATACGCCAGCTGTCAAACACACCCCTGTATTAGCTTATTTGAGCCTTGCCCAAGCGCGAGTGATATAGGATCAGTGTCCTTGACCAAGATCTCCAGTGGTGCGCGGTTCGCTCTACCAACAAGAAGGTGGTATTTTTCTTTCCTTCGCAAATCCACCGCGCACTTCTCGCGTTTCTGGACCTAGCAAACCTTTTGGGACCATTTTAGTGGTGCACAGATTTGACCAATCCACTCAGGACTTAAGACTGGAACTGCAATTTATTCTATAGTTGAACTTGGTCATTCTCGGATTGTGTCAGAAGCAAGGTGTTCAAGAGTCATGGAAGTGGACGATCGGACCGTCGGATGTTCTGGTTGCTTGAGGTTTCTTCCATGGCCCGAACAGTTGAATCTTTTCTTGGCCATCTGTCTGGACGGAGTTCAATCAGGAGCCAAAAGGAAACCAACCTACTCTAATATTTAGCTTTCTGAAAAAAGGAAGACTATCTAAAAGATACTGCCCTATATCGCCAACCCCTTATACTCTCTCACAACATCCAACGCCCGCTGTTCCTGCTTGATGATGGCATGTTCAGATAAAGCAATGCAGTCCAGGACGAAACCAAAGGGAAACAAAGCCATACCAAAGAAGAAGAGACATGTAAAGCCAAATTGAATCCAAAGGGAACCAATACGAAACCAAAGGGGAAATCAAAAGGAAAGTACAGGGAACCGAAACCGAACCCCCAAAGATACAAGTTCGTACGAGCTTGGAATCCCATAACCCACAGGCGGTTCACTTCCCAAAGGGTGCACGTTAATATTACCCATCCCTTCAAATTCGCAAAGCACAATGGACTTGCCAATATATTGCTGTGGGTCAAAACCAATGGTACCGTTTGGTAGGTGCACCACCCATTTTAGTCTATTTTAGTGGGGATTAGGATGTTCACTGGGGGTACGGGCTTTTGACCCATGGTCATATGATCTACAAAATATGTTTTAGTTTTTTAGCAAGACACGTCAATGCACTACAGGGGCCACGTGCCCAGCAACGCGAGTCGCGAGGTCGCGGACACTTGTTAAAGCCTAGCCATCCGGGGGCACAACTGACGAGCTGCAACGAAATTGCAAAGAAACGCTGCCAAAAATTGTGGCTTCCCTGTTAGCAGGCTTTGTGAAAGCGTGTCCACTGGGTCTTTTCATGGCTCGTTGTTTTTATTAGAACACTGGTGATGCTGAGGGTGATGACGTCTGGCTGCAAGGAGCCGCAAGCAGTAGCACAGCCAAGCCTAGCTGGAATGGCGAGAGCGATTCATTTCTCAAAAGCTGATTGTAGAGCTGCCAATCCATTCCAATCGGACAGCTGGGCCAGGTGTTTGCTTTTCACCTGAAAGGGGTGAAACAAGCTCGGTCGCTTGCACCAATTGTAGCGAGCTGTAGCGAGCTTACTGTATAACGGTAAAAGCAACTCAGCAAGTGATAAGACTTCATAGTCAGATGTGTGGCATTGTTGAACTATAGGCTATACTCATGCGTGCAGAATCACACGCAATCCGCACGCTGCAATTGATATCCCCGATCTTCATGTCTACTATCAGTTGATGTCAACAGCTGTGTCGCCAACATGTATCAAGGCAAAAGCAGGGCCCAGCTTTTGTGTTGGGGTTCACGGTGTCACCAGCAGTTGTCAAAATTGTCAATGCTCATCAACTTGAGTGCAATAAGCGGTGAGCGTCAGCCAATAGTCAGCATTAAGCCAAGCTGATCGAATGCAAGGCCCAGAACATATCGGATCCTTTTATTGGATTGGTTTGAAGGGAAGCTAAAAGAAGCCCATCCATTTGGTGGGTCCCCCTTTGTTTAACAGAAACAATGTCCTATGATATTTTCTGGCCAGTTAACTCAAAAACTCAACTGGTCAGTCAACTGTGCGGCTCTTGAATGGTGCAAGGCCCGCTACTTGAAGCTGGTGGATGAGGCGGGTCGCGGCTGCATTTTTCAGTTTTCGTTTGGGGAAGGACTCCTTCCCCAACTGGGTCTGTGTTTTTTGTTTTTGGGAAAACCCCCACAACAAGTGGCTCTTTGGTTTTCCTTTAAACCAACCTCCAGAAGGGGAATTACCCTCAACAAGAGACCCCGCCAAGGAACGGAAAGGTGTCACCTGTTTGAGGGCCAGACCTCCCGCTTCGTCTTCTTTGGCCGGAGGGGTTTCCCTTGAACATCGACCAACAAAACTTTCCCTTTTTCCGCGAGTCAGTTGGACTAGCCCTGATTCGAGCCTCCCGTGACCACATAGTCAACACCGGGGGTTTGCAAGAACCCACCATACTTTGATGCAAGTAGGATTTGCCCTACATACCACTAGGGAGTCCACGGGCGATTTGAGCTGACACGTTTTGGGCGACCACATATCGTGAGGCTGGCCGAAACAAAATGCAGTGTTCCTTTCTGGGCGTCACTCCCTCAGGTTTTTGGCATACGCCATTCCAAGCACATGTCTAGGCCCATCGTTTTCTGGACCCTTGGCGCGGGCTCTATTTTGTTGCGGTTCTTGAGCTGGGTGCCTTGATAGCCCAGGCTGATTTTTCCCAAAAGCAAACCAAAAGGGAATGGAAAGAAAGGAAAGACAACAGAAGTCCTGGAACTCACCCAGTTATCAGCACCTTGGCCCTGCTTTGGTGCACTTTTGCCCTACACGCCCATTTGGAAAGAGTGAAAATAGACCAAAGCCCTCCCAGCGATAATCAGTAAGCAACAATCAGTTAGCACTTTGGCCCCTATTTGGGAAGAATATGTGTTAATTGCACCCATTGGTTGGATATGCCAACTGATGTTTACTTACGCTTGATACCATTTTACATCTTTGCCCTTGTCTCCCAATGATGAAACCATATGTGGCGTGTCTTTGTTTGAAGGTGCCTTTTTGGTTGGTTTCAAGGGAACACCAAAAGGCAAGGAATACCACCTTTTTTTTTGGGGGGGGTGGGGGGGGGTCCCAAAAAGCCAGCACACCCATCTGAACTAAACAGTTTGGGCGGGGTCTGACCTGTTCCTTGCGAGCCTTGGGGCTCCAGCCTCCTGCCGCAGCACTCGGAGCTTGTGACCTTTGGGGAGAAGTATGGGGGCTTCGACCAGGCCGGCAAGGAGGCGCGGAGTTTTGTTTGGGTTTTTCTTGTTCGGCTAGAGGATGGAGCTGGCGATGCGGGGAATGGCACTTTTTGTTTGTCAAGGGCAGGACTTGATTCGATATTGTTTAGTTCAAGACTTCAGGTTTGTTCAAGTCGCGGATCCAGCAAGGGGAGCAGGCAATATTTGGACCGCGGCAAAGGGGATGATGTTGGATACACTGACCAAATTACCTTCGATTGGCCAACACACAAAACTGCCCTTTACAGATGCCCTTGGCCTTTTACGGGGCCCTTCGGTTGAATGAGGACCTGATTACGAAGGGTAAGTACTGACACTTGATTTAAGCATCTGGGGAGATGGTTGGAGCCCCTGATGAATTATCCGATGACAGCTCACACTGATTTTGCCAAGAAGTTTCCTTGTTTCCAACAGTCATGGCAGTGGACTATAGGCAATCTTTCACATGTCTTCGCCCAACTCCATCATGGCTGGAACAATGGCAATCTTGAGTTGGTGGTTTGGCTTGTGTGGAGTTGAGCCTATTGTCCTTTCAACCAAGTCTTCCCCCAAGCCCCAGGCCCATGGTTTTAGGAGGTTTGGGGTTGCCACTCATTGTGATCATTGGGAAATCCCGTTTAACACGATAGCGTAGTCATGTTGATGGGGATCTACAAGTTTGGTATCACAACCACGTGCGCGTGTACGAACATAGGACCAGTACAGATGCCGGTTTTGTATGTGGCTTCCTGCTGGCACCCAGAATAGCCCCTAATTTGGAGATTGGTGCGTGGAAAAGTGAAAACCCTTGCGTTTGTTTTTTTGCTAAGGGGAATTGAGCAAACTAAGGCAGTGTGCTTTCTTTGAGAATGCATGCGCTATGCGTGTTATAGTGGAGCTGACTAGCTTATTCGTGCTGGGCAATCAACTAGCTTGGGATTTAGCCAGTTCGCTAGCAAACTAGTGTGCTACTGTGAAAGCGAACTATCATCTTGTTATGTCAACCAGCCAGCCAACTGGTAAACTCTCAAACCAGCCAACTAGCTTACTGGCTAGCTAATTCGTTGATTGGCGAACTTGACTTAGCAGATGCGCGCGCATAAGAAAGACAAAGGAGGAGGCGCGCGTGGAGGCACTGGCAAACACACGGGGAGGGCGTTCCAGAAGTAGGGCCTCTGACTTCAGCGGCTTTTCTAGAGAACGGTTGTGATGTGGCGAATCTGTGGATGCACCCCGGTGTTCGATATTGAATAAGCTCAGGGATATCCCCAATAGCATACGGTGCTCTTTTTACCCTGGTGGAACCCTGGTGGGACTCTGGTGGAACCCTCGTTGGAACCTTACCTCAGGGCTGCCCCGGACCACCCCGGAGCATATCTGGGCTAAGACCCCAAAGGTTTCAGCTGTTGGGGAAAAAAGAGTACTAAAAGATTGCGGAAAAAACAGGCCTAACCGGGGATACCGCAGGTGAAGTCCACAAAAGCCGCATCCAAACCGTTTCCCGGATTGTTGGTAGTACCTGGGGTCTTTTTGTTATCAGGTTATGTTTTTTTTTTGCTTGAGGGGCAACAGCTGCAGTGGACTTTCTGACCCTTTCCGCCTTCGCTTCAGTGAACTGCACTCAGTTTTACCTGGACCGCATGGAGGAGCTCACGCGCGCGGCTCAGTTCCTTCCGCAAAGCCCCTGGTTTCCTCGATAATTTGGGTTCGCGCCGGTTTTTTGGTCGGCGAACTCCTCCAAAACACTGGCGGGACCCAGAAACCGCCCGAAAATTGGAAGAGGCCTGGTGCGAGAAGGCTGGTCTTCCAGGGACGATGTGCCACCCAATGGTTTTCCACCACGCACGCGGACGCGGGCGAAACGAAACATGGCCGTGGCGAAAAGGGGTGTGTTCCCCCCGTGCTGTTTTGGCTGGTTCATGATCAAAGGATGCCCTTTCCAACAAACACAAGGACACAGGGCAGTCACAGGGCCACCTGGAGGCGGAAGGGACATGCTTGTTTGTTGGCTGCTTGATATTGTTTCAAAGCCCACCTGAAAGTTTAGAAACGACCCACAGCTGCTGTCATTGGGAAACAGGGTGTACTCATTTCGACCAGCCGCATTGTTTTGCGGGCGAGGCCGGGTTGGTGTTTCCTTTCAGATGCACCAATAAGATAGCGTGTCCATTTGGGTGAGTCTTGTTTGAGTGTTTGAGGGTACCACCTTATTGTCGGTTGAAGCAAAGCCAAAAGCGACTGGGAATGTTGACCAAGCATGGGCGTGGCTACCTTCGGCATTTTAAAGCAAGGCCTTTTCCACCAGATCAAAAGGAAGTCGGGTGAAAAGTCTCGAACCCGATTGAACAAATCCGAATTACAGTCAACAGCATTGTGAGGTGGATTGTTTCGTGGTGTAGTGGTGTTTATTGCTACTTCTGCAACGAGATTAGGGCAGTACAGCAACACCCATTGTGCAAGTGGTACATATCCTCCGAGGGAGCGCTGGAGCTCGGTCATGAGCGCGGCGAGGCACGTTTTCAGCCGGCGCCTTTTTTGATGTTGTACGATAATTATAGTGGCCACCACAGTAAATGTATGTGATCCTCAGCTTGACAGGTCTTGTGTGGTGTGGGTTAATGCTTGTTTTGGAGACTGGAGTGCAAGATTAGGAAGAATGTTCTGAAATATCGGTCTTCCTCAGTTTGCGATCTGTAGGTTCTTGCAGGAATTGGACTGCTTTTCAGTAAACTGTGTGGTTAGGCAGAGCAGCGTACACAACTAATTCTTGGGAAACAGACCGTGCGTAGAGGCGAGTCCTATCTCTTAATCGCCTTCACGGTCTATTCCATTTCTTCCTACGTTGGGTTCCCTTCCTCACCTCTCTGTGCCATCTCTTATCTCTTGCCCACCCTCTCCTTCGCTCGGGCGAAGAGGCAAGAGAGACTAAGAGATGGAGAGGAGAGCATGGGAAGAGAAGGGACCCATCTCTCTCCTCAATGCCTCTCTTTGACTCCGCTCGACACAGAGCGAAGAGAGGCATGAAGAGAATGGGCGCTGGCAACGGGAAATAGCCACTAGACGAAGCAATTTGTGTTTGAACACCCCCATGGGCCCTGCTTAAAGGGACGCCGAAAGGAGAGCCAATAAAGCGATGGCGGTTTGAACATGTTTCAACAAGTCGGCCCCCTACTTGGCACTTGTGGTTGCTCCTTTGGCAGCATCATGACTAACAGGATCTAACTGGCTTTACACAGTTTGCTTAGAGATGTCCTGCTTCCCACGTTTGAACTTTTATTTGTTGTTTGGCTGGAACGGAAATTCCAAAACTCACAAACATATTTTTAAAAACTTGTATCGGTTTGAGCAGTTGGTTCGAAATTATCTATCCTTGTGCCAGGCAGTTCGCAACGGTTGCGCGAAATAGTCCACGGCTGAAACTGATGTGATACCTTTTGAGAAACGCGTCCTCCCTCAACAGAAAAAAAAGCAAGAGTAACAAGTTCCACAACCCCAATGTGAGTGGTTTCCTCGAGTAGACCCCTCTCTGGGTGGCTCTGAAGGAAACCAAAAGGACACCGCCAAGAACAAGGGAGCTTTCCATTTCATGAACGCCCCCACGGGAACGCCCTTTTGACTCGTCATTTTCCAGTTGTGCTCCAGTCTCATGGTCTCATAAGAACTATGTGTTTACTTGTCATGGACCATGTCTGTCATGACCTTGGTCTATGGTTGGGTCCAGGTATTTTTGTAATTTCCGGTTCAAGTGGTCAATTCAGGGTGGGGGGCATGGGGGCTCGCCATATTTCAGGTCCCCAAAGGTGAATCGTTTGTCAGGTTCTTGGGCGGGTGGGAAAGTATCGCAACCATGTTGCTGGGATCCCCTTTTTGTTCGACACGCCGCGGCCCCAACCCTCTGCGTCAGTATGATGGGCATGAAGCCCGTCCGCGCCTACGAGGCATACTCTGAGGCGTGGAAATCCGGTTTGAGGCTAAGGGTGGACAATTTTCACACATCCAAGTGAGCAGCAAAAAGAACACCAGAGAAGTTTATAAGTCTGAAGTTCACATGATTTGGAGTCGCTTTGAGTATCAATGTATATGTCAGCGTGAGGTGAGTATGGACCAGAAGCCTTAACCTATACGGGTTGGGGGCAAGAGCTGAGGCAGCTGCATCGATTTTGGTTTGCCCTTGGCGAGGCAAACCATTTTCCCATCATGATTATGGTTCGGCCAATTTCATTTGCAGAAGTCCAGGCGGAAGTCCAATCCGTTGGATCTCGCTAAATTGCCCCATGTCACATCGTCCGTTATGTTTGATCTCGTTGCCTTGGCTCCTGGAAGACTTCATTCATGGTACGGATGCCCTTAAACAGTATGGCAATAACCTAACCACATCCAACCACAAAGCCATGCCACATATAGAAAACTGGACGGTCTTCCCTGTTCTGTACTTGCAGAGTAGGTCAACCGTCTCTTGTTTCTGGATTTTCACGACCTCTCAACTGTTTTGGGCCAATAAGCCTAGGGACCCTGCCAAAAGGAATACCAACGGATGGCTCTTAGGAGGCATTTCTTGATTCTCTCGTGAGAATCAGCTACGACGCTCTGAAATGCGATCCATGTCTTCCAGTGACACCCTTTTCTGCCAACTCCTCCAACGCAATGTGATATGTTGAGTATGAAACAGAATCAGACAGTCTGGTTTTCTGTGTACCCTTTTTGCAGTCCAAGTTGACAGCGGTTTCAGGTGGGATTTCAAGCGGCTGCGGCTCCTTTTGCCCCGGCAGTTTAAAAGATCTGAGATTTGGGTGAGTTTTAGTTAGGGACCCCTTGGTGGTCATTGCGCATTGATGTCCACCATCTGAATAGGTTCATCAAATCATTGCCAGTCGACACTTCCAACTTCCCAGCACCTCCTTCCCTGGTTCAAGGGCATCAGGTATTTGGAGCTATGGATTCTTATATTCACGACCAAAAAATCCGCGCAGGGAAGTTGCTAGTACCCCTTGTGCTTTTTCTTCCACTCCTCACCTCCAAAGCCCATCCCAAAGACTTAAAGTCCCTCCGGTCTTGGGCCATCTCTTGCCAGGAGTACCTGAGCCAGTCCGGTCTGTCGCCCGAAACCTTCCGAGACCTGGCGCGGGACTCGAGGATGGATCACCGAAGAGCGGGGTTTGGGCGGGTTTTCCAAGGCAAACCAAAAAGGAAACCAACAAGTTTGCCTCCATCACGGGGATTTGTCGAAAACAAGTTTGCCGGAAAGGCTTCCCCTCTTCATTTCTGGTCAAGCCCAAAACTCATTGGAAGCCCTTTGCCGTCCGTTCGGGTTGGGCTGTTGATCATTGCCATTCCGCACGCATTTGGGTCGGCACCCCTCAGACTTGTGAGCCAAAAAGGCACGATCCTGTTTCAGTTCTCCTGGTTGCTTCTTTGGCCTAGCGATGGCCAACCGCAAGGGAAGTTGAGTGCGGCCAAGCGGTTTCCTTTCACTCCCCTTGCTTGTGCTAGGATTCTTGGAGCAGCCCTAGTTCTGGTAGTCGGGACCCCCCTTTGATTGCGTGCGCCCAAGAGGGGCAAGGTATGGCATGCTGCGATTGATCCGCAAAACAAAACAAAAAAAGGCGACCAATCACAGTACATGGCCTGTTCAAGGACTGGACTAGACACCAATGACTCAATATTGTGGGTGTTAGTTTTCGATAATTAGTACAGAAAGCACTGAGTTGAGGCCCCTTTGTATGACTGCTTTCCTTCATGTTTGTTCTGAGGTCGCGGCAATGAACTGCTCAGTGGCTCCCATGTCATTTTTGAGAAGCCCTTGAGGTGAATGAAGTGCACCAGCTGCTTCGGAGGAAGGCGCGGGTGTCAGCGCAAGGTCAAAGAGGGCTGCGGACATGTTTGTGGAAACTTAGGTCTTGGGGTTACCAAGGTGAGGCACTCTCCCAATGGTGTCCGGCACTGAAACACCCTTTTTGGGTTTCGGCAGAGTTCTCCTCAACTTGTTATTGCGACACCTTGGAAGATTATCCACCCTAGCGCGAACTAATCAGGTCCGAAATCACACCATGGTTTGAGGGGTGTAGTACAAAAGCCCTTTCGCCGAGCCAAGCTACGAGTGTAGGGCTAATGCAAATAAATTCCCTCCAACAATCGCGCAAGTGGTCCTTCGGGTCACCCGAAGCCGAAGGACACCAGTGTTCCCACACTTCCCTGTCAGCTTCCATTGCCGAAAGAAGGTTTCCCCAAATGAGTGTTCTGAGTAGGAATTTATCAGGGCTTGAACTGGGTGCGCACATATCCCCCAAACCATCGTCCGAAAGATCCTGTACTGAGATATGAGGCTGCAGGCCATTTGGTCTTATGTGTTGCTCTGCGAAAGCTCCGTGATGGAAGCTTGCAAAAGAAAAAGTTGATTTGTTTTCGCGAAGATGGCATTTCCTAGAGCAAGGAATTTCAGACAACCGCCATATGGCTCGTCAGGGATGTCCATTACGGGAGTCAGGATGTGAGAAACGAATTAAGGAGCACTGCGTGGGAACCGAGTGATGATATTCTGACTGCGCGTAGCAACTTCGGAAGTGCAAAGGGAGCATTCGTTGTTTCCAGTAGTTTATTGCCAGCTCGGAGCCCACGTTTAACTGTTGATCAATAGGGGGTGTCTCATGTCAGAGAGGATCTGATCACTTTGGGCGAACCCGCTTCCCTATCAATCCAGCAGGTGAATGTGTTTCAATACGTGCCCATGCAATGCTTGTATGAAGCACACGTAGGGCTGGCACTTGTGGAGTTGTCCTTCGTGCCGTGTTTTTGGCTAGGCAAACAGAAGACTGAGGAGGAGAGTGAGCAGAAAAAGAGACCAACAAGAAGAAGAAGAAGCAAAGTGCAAAATCAGCAAAGCAGAAAGCACCACGCGTAATGTAGCTGTGGCTCAAACATCGGGCCCTCCGACCTCTCAGTTTTGTTTTTGTTGTGGTTTTCTGGGTCCGTAGTTGTGAGTTACACTCCAACTATTCCTCCGGTACATGGACCTTGTCTCAAAATAGGGGACCCCCACATGGGCGGTGTTTTGTTGGGTTTCCCTTCAGAACATCCCAACACGAGGGTTCCCGAAACCAAAGAAACGCATGCCGTCGCGTCAACATGCTGCCCCCTGGTAGGCTCGTTGACACGCGAGAGCCAAAAATCGGGACCCGCGGCTGGCAGAGCTGCTGCCATCCCGTCCACGCCGAACCGGACGTGTCGGGGTCCATGATCTACTTTCCCTCAAGGGACCCTTTGGTGGGTTCCATGTTGCAGAGGAGGGTGGGGTAGTCCATCTGACGTTTCGGGGTTCCAAAGGGACTTTCCGGGTGGTTCCATGCTTGTGGACAGGAGGGTAGCTGGGACTGTTTCAACCTCTTGCCACTTTCATAGGTCCCTAAGGTTGTTCATATCCCAGGTCACACATGTTGAGGCTCGGGATCCCCCATGAAAATGAGTTGTTTTTCCGGGACACACCAACCTGCACCAAATGTTGCTTAGTGTCCAGACACTCCCAAATCTCATGCGCAAGTGAGTGAATCTCACCGAATATTACCATGAAGTGCATAGGGCTGTCAGCATATCGGAAGTTTCACACACCACTGTCACTGGTTTTTCTATCCCACGACTCTGCGCGGGCATTCAGTTTGTGATCGGTTCATACAAGTGCAGAACAGTCGATTAGGTGTGGTTGATTCCCTTGCGAGAATGCCAACTAACATGGAGCCGCGACAAACGCACTTTGACAAGGGATCTCCTTTGAGAGACCCCCTTCCATGTAAATGTGCCGAGCATGTGTGGGAGACTATGGGAGCTGAACTCTGCCTATTTTATGGTGAGCTCGTCTGGGGGCAAAACGAGCTCACCACAATGAAGGTCATTTGCTCGGAGTCCCTTTTTGAGGTTTTTGGCAGCTATGATAAATGTTTGCCTATCTTATAGCAATCTCACCTGGGGGTGAAGCCAGCTCACCATGGTCAAGGTCCTTTACTTGGGGATCTCCTTACCTGGGGATTTTTTTGCCTGGAATTATACGCAGTAATCCTTGCAGACATTCTGCAGATCAACCGCATCCCAGCAAGGCATGCGAGGTGACCGAAAGCCCATGACTCGTGTCTCGCGTCCGCCGCTGTTGGGCTGAAGTGGACGCGTGGGCTCGAGTCTCAGGGCGCTTAGGACGGAGTGGAAACATCAGCCATTGCCGAGCAGCAAGTGTTCCGGAGCCGGTTTCAGAGTTAAGTCCCGAACAATCACTCATGTAGTCAGGATTCATACCCCCTGGCCCCTGGTGGATGAATGGGGGGTGTTGCAATGTAGCAGGGATTCTTCACTTTCGGAGGCAAGCCCCATGTCACCAGCTTGACCGGGCTTGAGCGCCCTTGTTTAAGCTTGCTGAAGCACCCCTTTGAACAATCTGCTGGCTCAAGGGATCCCAGGGTCATATTATATACACGTACATGTTGCAATTGCATGTCCGGGTATATGGTTGATAAAGAGTCAATCTGGCTATCTGGATCCCCTTCCAACACGCAGATCCACCTTGTGATGCCTTCCGCAGAGTTGCTCCGACGACCAAACCACAGAGGTGTTGGTGTTTGAGAGTCTTTGGTTCCCAGGGAAAACGCACGGAAAGCCATGATTCTGGCGGTCCCCCTATTTTGACACATCTAAGGGTAAACAAATGCTTGGTAGTTGAACCACGCCTATTGCATTAACCTTGGGCATGGTGCTTGAGTTGCCAGAATTGGTGTTGGGCTCTTTTGTGTTCCTGTTCCAGGGGCCACATGATTTAGGCTTACAGGGTTTTGGGAGCAAACCTCTGTTTCAGGAACCTGACTTGCTTTGATTCTTCACGAAACCCCAGTGGCCCTTTGTTCCTATCCTTTTTTTGAAGGGTTTGCCTTCAATATCAAATATCAGCCCCAAAATTGGCACTTGTTGGATGGATATTTGAAATATCCATCCAAGTTAAGTGCCATTTTTTGGGGCCGCTGCTCGTCGTCAGGGTGCTTTTTTTTTGGTTTTGCAGGAGCCATGGCAGATTTGGCGCCCGCTTTCGCGGCGACGCCGGTTTTGAGCCGTGGGGCGGCTCAGGTGCTCGCTTGCGAGTCTTGCGAGAGAGTCTCGCGAGCCGACAGCCTATGTTTTGTGGGGTTCTTTTAGATTCTTCGGTTAGTCCAAGTACGGAAGTAAACTGAACACGCGGTTTTTGGTGTAATTACCCCAGGGTTGGGCCAAGGTGCTAGATAAAAGAGGATATGGCTGGGCCAAATTCCATTGAGACCACCCACGATTTTCATGTTTTGTCGGGGAACGTTTGTACTTTGGTTCGGGGGCCCATGTCTTACTGGGCAGTTGTCTGATTGGAACGGACCGTCGAGTGCTTGGCCCAAAACAGAAATGTCTGCCACGTCATTCCATGTAGAGCAAATATCACCAACATTCGGCCCGAGTTGTGAGCAAGTAAAAACCATGACATGTTTAACCCGCGGGAAGAAACAAAAGTACTGACCACTTCTGAGGTGCCATTGGGACCTGGACTCCGGGCACCAACAGCACACCCGCGATCCGTCGAGCCCCCTCAAAGGGCCATTTTTGGGGCTGGCTTTCTGAGGAATCGGAGCCCCAAAATGGTGGTGGTCATGTTGCTCTGTTCCTTCAATACCAAGCAAAAGGGCTACGTACCCTCAAAAAAACACTCACTTTAGTAGATGTTCCGGTTCCTACCTGGTTCAATAGGGCGTATAGTAAAGCCCAAATAAACCATTCTAACCGTCTTGGTAGAACCGACAGTCGGCTCTCCGTCAGACTGTTGCGGAGGCCAGATCACCTTTGCAGCAGCACGTGCACCGAGAAAGTCATGAACAAGATCTCTAAATGGTCCTATAACGCTGACTTGGCCAAATATGCCTACTGCCTTGTATACGCAAGTCAGAGCGGAATCTGTGAGCAGGCAGACTTCATTAGCTGCCGCGACTATGTCTGCGCTGGCTGAGCCTGGAATGACTTGGGGGAGTCTGCCGCGACTATGTCCGCGCTGGCTGAGCGGGGAATGACTTGGGGGAGTCTGCCGCGACTATGTCCGCGCTGGCTGAGCGGGGAATGACTTTGGCACGCTCGTGAATCAAGCGGAGAGTCGCATGCCAGTTGTCGAAATCAGGAAGTTGGTGGAGTCCATTCCAAGAAGCAGATGCTTCAAGTCTTTGCAATCCTTCATCGAGCTGCGGCTGCAGAATCTAGGAGAGTTGCAAGTGGACAGCGTTGAGCAGGAGGCCTTTGCGGCCCTCACATGCGCGAATTTCAAGTAGCTGCCAACGCCAACCAGGATTTGAGAAGCAGTTCGCAGCTAGCTTCCAAAATCGCTGCGGGCCTTCTGCCTGGGAATTCTTGCCTCGCCGCGCAGTTTCTAGACTTTAGAAAGCCCCATCAACTCGCCTGTCCCCCCCTCATAGCTAGGGTCCAGGGAACAGGGTTACCGAACTGTTGCCCTCTTACTGCTCCCAATTCCCACTGCAATAGGTATCCAGGGTTTCTTACCTCTATTTACTTGGTTAGCTCCAATGGCAAGTGGAAGGGCCCAAGAACATCTAAGCCTCACTCCCTGAGTTTCTGGACACTTTTTGGGATCGGACTTCTCAGTGACGGCAAAGGTCACCAACTCCGCAAGTGAGGCACGTTGCCAGACAAACTCAGCGTTTAAAGTAGTTTTCCCCAAAAGGGGGATCCTTCATGTTCAGCCAGAGCTTGACCTTCTCAGGGTTCCTTCATGTTCAGTGACTTTGTCCCTTTTTTCCAGCCGGAGCTTCACAGCGGTTTCCGTCTAGGGCATCCATTCGGGTCCCGCGCATCGGGTTGGTCGGTTCCCCCGAGGTGGGACGCTTGCAGTCGGGTCGGCGAAGCCGCCCGGGGCCCGGAAGGGCAGGCAGAAGAATTTGTGACGCCCGGATCGAAGTAGAAGCCGGTTGAGTTTGAGAGATGGTGTCCGTTGAACGTGGGTTTATCACTTTTGACTTGTGGAGTGGCCAACAAAAAACACCCCCTACGACACGAATAGGGAGGGTTCATCTTTATGGGAACCCAGAAAGAACAAATGGCATTGATTCGTATACGGGGTGCCCCATTTGTACAGGAGGGAATCCTCCACTTTGGGGGATTACTCCCTCACAATCTACCAGGTGGATTAGTGAACCCGGGGTGGACATTACCGTTTGGCGAGATCTCTCGGGTGCAGTGACAATAGATCAGCATCAAGCGATCTCACTGCGACCCCTCGCTCCTCGCCCCTCGCTCCTCGTCCCTCGCTTCCCAAAGGCATCCGCGGCTGGCGTCGGCGTCGGGCGCGTCGGGCGCTTCCTGGGAGCTGGGCGCGGGGATCGGGGCCGCTGCAGCCGGAGGCTTAGAGATCGATCTCTCACCGTGAGCTCTCATTGGGTAAGGCTTCCATTTGGTTGAGACGATTCTTTGGTTGGTTCTAAAGGGAAACCTATCACTACTGGGAATATGTTTTTTTCTTTTCCCCAGGAGGCTTAAGCACATGGGAAAAAATGAACAAGAGACAGCATGATTGAAGATCGAATAGGGCATCCGATTCTCAAATATGATTCTGGAAGTATGACAAAATGGGCAGACCTCAAGTGAGATGCTCCGAGCCTTTAATGCAACAGATGGCCAACCCCCACGGGTAATCAGTTGAGTTCCTTTTTTAGTATCAGGGGCCATTGGTTTCCCCTGAGCGCGCTGTTTTTGGGGCAATTGTTGAGAGGGTTGTTTTGAAAGTGGGCTTGGATGTTGGAAACCCGCAAGATTCTCTATGAACCTTTCCTAGTCTTTACCCTAAAGGTTTAGAGGGGACCTGGGGGTTGACGGCGGCGATTTCGCCGTCCTCTTGCGGTGTCTCCTCAGGATTTCCTTTTCGGGTCTTCTCGCGATTGGACCATCTCAGGGGTATGTGTCAAACAGATCTGCACCCTCCAAAGGATTGTTTTCCGTGGTCCTTTTGAATTCCCTTGAAACCAAGCTGGACAGACCCAGCCTGAACAAAGGCCACAATGGGATGTGCTGAATATGAAGACTTTCGACATCGTTTGACCTCCCAAAACAAACATCACACAAGCTCCTTGGGTTGCAACAGTTGCAACCCATGTTGGAAAAGAAGACTCCGAGGTCTTCCTGAGAGGTCGGCGCGCTGCGCGGGCGGGCCGCACTGCGCGAGCCGCCAAGGTGAGTCCGCATGGACAGATCGCCCGTAGGTGGCTTGTCAGTGTTTGTTGGAGGGGCCCTTTTACAGGTTAGTTTGAAGGAACCCAAGATTAGGTTCCTTTGAAGGGCAAGAACACATTGTTTGTTGGGGGGTCCAAATTTAGTACTGCCTTAAAGAACATGTTGATCAGTTCTCGAACTTAACTGTTGCTTGGGGGTTCTTTTGGGCATTTTTCATCTTCGCCTCTCTTGGCGTGTTTTGGAAGATGACGGTGGCTACACTATTTGAGCTGCCAGTGCGCGTTAGTAACTTAGTATGGGTTCATACACTGCGCCTGAGCAGCGAGGATCTGAGTGCAGTGCAAACCCTTTGCCACTGAATGCTCGGCTTGCAAGCATGGTGCCGGTCAATCGCAAGCGGAACAGCTGCCAATGTTGACTTTTAGATTGGTTTCTTTGCCAATCTTCTGCTGATGCCATTTCCAGTACCAGATAAAATCCCAATGATTTTCCTCGGAAACCCAACATCTGCCAGTCGTCACTTCCAAACTTGGTTGCACACTTGAAACAGCCATTGCATGCAACCAATGTCCATTGTTTGGGGGACGACACCCGAGAATTCGGCCAGTTGGATCATTCCGGGATCATCACTCGGATGAACAAGCTTGATGTGACCACCATAGGCCTTGATCAAAAACATACCGCGCATCTTTTTTCGGGTAGGCAACCCAACCCACTTTGCTGGGCTTCACCATGTGATTATGTTTCTTTGGTACATAAAGGGATCCCTAATAAATGCTCCCAAAGGCTCGACGCTACGTCTTCGAAGCTGATTCGGCATCCCTCTCTAACGAGTTGCAGTCCCCAATCACGATCAACCAACGGTTCGTCATCCACTGGCAATCCACTAGTACACTACACACACACGCACCGGCTTTCGCTCGCTACAAATGACACGTGTAGATTCCGTTTGCGTGTTAAGTAAGTTCTACCCACATGCTTGCTGTATTCAACGGCAAAATCAAGATCGGGCTGGCTATAGATTCTGGCGCAGCCAAGAATCCAGGGATGATTCAAATTGTCGAAATGGGAGACTACAGAGCTGAATTACTCCCAACTCATTGCTTCGAGGGGTTTGGAAGTTTCCCTTAAAACCGAATCCATGGCAACTTAAAACTTAGCTATCGGTTTGCAAGTTTCCTTTTCGCTCCGAGCTCTTAGCCGTTGGGGCAACGAGGCCTCCTGGCCCGCTTGCTTGCAGGCTAGGAAGATCCTGTACCGGGAGGATGGGCGCAAGCAGGCGGGTGACTGCAACGAATCCATGGAAGCCACCGGAGAATTGGGTTTCCTTAACCCGCTTGATTTAGGGCCTTCAAACAACCTGGTTTTGAGACCCTCAACCACCTCCGGGGTGTCTGACAGCCCCAGTAGAAACTGGGTAGATGTTCCAAACCGAAGATGCAAGGGGGTGGCGAAGCGCCCAGAATCTAGTTGCCATCAGTATGCCCTGCGTCCGAATGCACACCGCGGCCCAGGAATACTCAAGTGAAAACAATCAGGTTAAGAACTGTCTATAAGCATGATTTGTGCATTAGTTTTCCTGAGTTTCTGCAAATGACAGAGTGCTGCCCGCATGGTTGACATGCTATCCAGCATTTGCTGTTTTCGGTGTGTTGTTTCGTAGCGCTTTGGGCATCCACCCCTGAAAGCATCTTAGTCAAATCAGACCTTTCGGCATGACCACTAAAAGAGAGTTTATTTAAAAGGGAGATTCCCCTAGAATCAAAGAAGTGGAACCATCCATCCCTGTTTGTCGCAGCCCCAATTTGACACGTTGACGGCAGTGCTTAGTCAGTTCAACCAAACCCTGAGGCTCCCGCGCAAGCCATCGTAGCTGGTAAGAGCTTCTTAATTTTTGCTTTTCGATGGTGGTTTCAAGCCGGGATGTCCACTACAGTGATTTGCCAGAAAGCACTGGGAGACAGATCCGCGACCAACTATAGTTTGCCCATATCTTCCGCTGTGGTGCGTGGCATACCAGGAGTTCGGTTTCAGGATCGAAGCTCAAGATCCAAGAGGCGAGTCGAAACCTGACGCCAGTTGTAGCACGCGGGGCAGCATGAAGTTCTGCTCCGAAGTATTTGTGGCAGTTGGCGAGAAGACCTTCTTCTTCCCAAAGCCTCTGAAACCACTGATGGGCAGTCAGAGGTCTATCGACATCAAGCGCAGGGCGGACGCAGCGATGACGAAATACGATATCCTGATGGGCAACTGCATCAACTACCCTTTGCTGCCTTAGTACATGGGATCTACTACAACGGCTTGCCTGGGTCTCATTCGGAAAAGGGCATTACTTCTTGCTTGTTTTTTCAATTGGTCCATCAATCTGCTTTCCCGGATTATCAGATTGCTCCCAGCCGCAAAAGGTTCTTGTGCGACCCTTGTACAAAGTCCTTGTACAAAGAGGATTGAGGAGAATTTGGGGGATGGTTGCTTCAGGTGCCTCAGAAGGGGTGGGTTGGAAGTCTAGCTGGAATCTCCTAAAAGCCATCTAAACCTATCTCAGCGCATCCTCACACCCCTCTAACCCCGTTTGAACCCTCTAAACCCATGCAAAAAGAGACCCCTGCGCGGCCAACAAGATACATTTTGCCACCATTTGAAACATGTTGCTTTTTCCACACCAAAACAAATAAAGTTGGAAACCAGCATTTACAAGTGGCCATGCTCAGGTGTTGTTCATCTGTATTCACTGCATCCGGATCCCTGCTTGGCTACAATCCTTTGCCTCAGCTGCTGCGGGGCATCGACAAGCTGGCGGAGACCGTGGCTGTGACTCTGGGCCCCAGGGGTCGCAACGTTCTGCTGGACAAGGCGGGGCCCGGAGGCACGCAGGCCCGGAGGCACGGAGGCGCAGGGCTGGGAGGTTCATTCATTGCCTGCCCAGGTCCAGCCTCAAACCCAGGAATTGGTGCCTCCTTTTGTGGGGAAATCAAGCGCTGGGTTCAAGCGTAGTTTCAAAATCGAATGCTTCAGGGCTCTCTGGATAGGCCGGCGTTTGTTTTCTTCTTTGCCAATCCTTATATAGTGAAGATCACCCCCAGTGTTTCATGTTTCCCTTGGTCCATTCTTGCGAAAGGCCTGAACAAAGCTGATCAGCTTGTACTTCCAGGTGAGTTGGTTCTTTTGGCTGTTGTTTGGGGTTTCTTGAGGGTCGGGGCTCTCAGTTGGCAAGCCATCAATGGGGTCTGCATTGGACGGGTCATGGTTCTCCAATCGGTTCAACCCACCCCGATTTCCCCCCAAATGGGGTGGTTTCAAACACCACCCATTTGGTAGCGAGTTTGCTTGGGTGATGTCTTAAAGCTGTTTTTTGGCAATGCGGTTCTCTTTGTCCGTGTGAGTTTGCTTGCTGCCTTGCTTGGTTGGTGGGTTGTTTGTTTCTTGCTTGGTTGCTTGCTTGCTTGCTTGCTTGCTTGCTTGCTTGCTTGCTTGCTTGCTTGGTTGGTTGGTTGTTTGTTTGCTTGCTTGGTTGGTTGGTTGGTTGGTTGCATGTTTGGTTTGTTGGTTGGTTGGTTCGTTGGTTGTGCGTGTGTTTCTTTGTTTGTTGGTGCGTGCAAGTATTAGCGATCCAGAAGGCCCAGATGAAAAAAGCACCAACATGATACCCGCTGCTGCGAAAACCACCCTGCTGAGGATGGTTCTGAATATTGCTTGGAGCCCTTGGCAAGTCGGCGAACATATTGCAACATGGCTTCATATGGTTGAATGTGGGCTGAGTCCAGGCTTGAGATGGTTGAGGCGCTTGGAAGATTGTGTCATAGTGTTCTAGCATGTTTCTTTTTTTTCTTCTTCTGGTAATCCCTAGTTTGTACTAGATAAACACATACGTTTGTTTGCGGCACCAAACGCCTGTCTTGGATGGTTTGGGCTCGGAAAGCAGGCACCAAACTCCTGCAGCTCCGGCTTGCGGCTTGCCAGCCTGAACCGAATCGAATCCGCAGGGGGAGTTCTCGGCCCCACAGATCGTGAACGATGGCTGGGCCCACAGAGGGCAGTTGAGCGGGCAGGTGACCCGGTTGCGCGTACAAGAAGGGGAGTACCAAATTATGTCCTCTTCTTGGGGGGGGGGGGGCGGGGCAAGATGCCAAAGTTTTCAGGTGCCGCCACCCGGGAGAGGGTTGCTTGAGGGTTCATTGCCTGCAGTTTAAAACCTGACGTCTCAAAGAGCGGTCCTTAGTTCTGCAACAGGAGTGTAAAGGGCAAACCCTGGCAAATCTACAGGAAGGGATGCAACGCGCTGATTGGAGCCCTGGATTCTCGCAAACAATTACTTATTTCAGAAATGCGGAGAAACCCTCGAACCATTCCACTCCAGAATGGACCCCCCGCAGTCAAGCATTCTGGGGTTGCTTCCCTACGGTCATAGCCCTCCCAACGAGCTATTTTAACGCCTCCGGCTCAGGCCGCCGACATTACAGGCCTGCTTTCTTATTTGCGTCCCTTTGGAATTGTCCCCTTGCCCCCTTCCCCTCTGAGATTTTTGCCCCCCTTTCTTTGTTGAGATCCATTCCCCCTTTCCGCCCTAAGGCCTTTTCTCCCTCTGATTTTTCCCTTTTCCTCCCTAAGATGTTTTCCCCCCTCTCCCTGTTGAGATCCTTTCCCCCCTTTCCCCCCTAAGGCCTTTTCCCCCCTGAGATCTTCTCCCTTTTCCTCCCTTTCCCCCACTTCCCCCCCTACGGCCTTTTCCTCCCTGGGATCTTTTTCCTTTCCTCCCTGAGATCTTTCCCCCCCTTTCCCTGTTGAGATCCTTTCCCCCCTTTCCCCCCTACGGCCTTTCCCCCCGCTGAGATCTTCTCCGTATTCCTCCTTAAGATCCTTTTCCTTCCTAAGATTGTTTCCCCCCTTTCCCTGTTGAGATCCTTCCCACCCTTTCCCCCCTCAGGCCTTTCCCCCCCTGAGAGCTTCTCCCTTTTCCTTCCTTAGATCTTTCCCCCCTTTCCCTGTTGGCCTTTTTTCCCCCAGATCTTCTCCCTTTCCTCCCTAAGATCTTTTCCACCCCTTTCCCTGTTGAGATCATTTCTCCCCTTTCCCCCCTACGGCCTTTGCCCCCAGATCTTCTCCCTTTCCTCCCTAAGATCTTTCCCCCCCTTTCCCTGCTCAGATCCTTTCCCCCCTTTCCCCCCTAAGGCCTTTCCCCCCCTGAGATCTTCTCCCTTTTCCTCCCTAAGATCTTTTGCAATTTTTCCCTGTTGAGATCCATTCCCCCTTTCCCCCCTAAGGCCCTTTCTCCCTCTGAGTTTTTCCCTTTTCCTCCCTACGATGTTTTCCCCCCTCTCCCTGTTGAGATCCTTTCCCTCCTTTCCCCCCTAAGGCCTTTTTTCCCCCCGCGATCTTCCCCCTTTTCCTTCCTAAGATCTTTTCCCCCCTTTCCTTTGTTAAGGCGTTTTCCCCCCCAAGATCCTTTCCTTTGCCCCCTTTCCCTGTTGAGGTCCTTTCCCCTCTTTCCCCCCTAAGGCCTTTCCCCCCCTGAGATCTTCTCCCTTGTCCTCCCCAAGATCTTTTCCCTTGGTTGAGATCCTTTCCCCCTTTCCCCCCAAGATCTTCTCCCTTTTCCTCCCTAGGATCCTCTCCCACCTTTCCCTGTTGAGCTCCTTTCCCCCTTTTCCCCCTAAGGCCTTTTCAGATCTTCTCCCTTTTCCTCCCGAAGATCCTTTGCCCCCTTTCCCTGTTGAGATCCTTTCCCTCACCTTTCCCTTTCCCTGACAGGCCTTTCCCCCCTCTGAGATCTTCTTCCTATTCCTCCTTAAGATCCTTTGCCCCCTTTCCCTGTTGAGATCCTTTCCCCCCTTCCCTTTAAGGCCTTTCCAGATCTTTTCCCTTTTCCTTCCTAAGATTGTTTCCCCCCTTTCCCGGTTGAGATCCTTCCCACCCTTTCCCGCCAAAGGCCTTTCCCCCCTGAGAGCTTCTCCCTTTTCCTTCCTTAGATCTTTCCCCCCTTTCCCTGTTGGCCTTTTTTCCCCCAGATCTTCTCCCTTTCCTCCCTAAGATCTTTTCCACCCCTTTCCTGTTGAGATCATTTCTCCCCTTTCCCCTCTAAGGCCTTTGTCCCCAGATCTTCTCCCTTTCCTCCCTAAGATCTTTCCCCCCCCCCCTTTCCCTGCTGAGATCCTTTCCCCCTTTCCCCCCTAAGGCCTTTCCCCCCCCTAAAAGCTTCTCCCTTTTCCTTCCGAAGATCTTTTCCCCCTTTCCCTGTTAGGCTTTCCCCCCTAAGTCCTTTTCTCCCAGATCGTCTCCCTTTCCTCCCTAAGATCTTCCCCCCCCTTTCCTCCTTAAGATCTTTCCCACCCTTTCCCTGTTGAGATCCTTTCCCCCCTTTCCCTCCCAAGGCCTTTCCCCCCCCTGAGAGCTTCTCCCTTTTCCTTCCTAAGATCTTTTCCCCCCTTTCCCTGTTGGGCTTTCCCCCCTAAGTCCTTTTCTCCCAGATCTTCTCCCTTTCCTCCCTAAGATCTTCCCCCCCCCTTTCCTTCCTAAGATTGTTTCCCCCCTTTCCCTGTTGAGATCCTTCCCACCCTTTCCCTCTGAGGCCTTTCCCCCCCTGAGAAGCTCTCCTTCCTTAGATCTTTCCCCCCTTTCCCTGTTGGCCTTTTTCCCCCCAGATCTTCTCCCTTTCCTCCCTAAGATCTTTTCCACCCCTTTCCCTGTTGAGATCATTTCTCCCATTTCCCCCCTAAGGCCTTTGCCCCCAGATCTTCTCCCTTTCCTCCCTAAGATCTTTTCCCTCCTTTTTCCTGCTCAGATCCTTTCCCCCCTTTCCCCCCTAAGGCCTTTCCCCCCTGAGATCTTCTCCCTTTTCCTCCCTAAGATCTTTTGCATTTTTTCCCTGTTGAGATCCATTCCCCCTTTCCCCCCCAAGGCCCTTTCTCCCTCTGAGTTTTTCCCTTTTCCTCCCTACGATGTTTTCCCCCCTCTCCCTGTTGAGATCCTTTCCCTCCTTTCCCCCCTAAGGCCTTTTTTCCCCCCGCGATCTTCCCCCTTTTCCTTCCTAAGATCTTTTCCCCCCTTTCCTTGTTGAGATCCTTTCCCGCCCTTTCCCCCCTAAGGCGTTTTCCCCCCCCAAGATCTTCTCCCTTTTCCTCCCTAAGATCCTTTGCCCCCTTTCCCTGTTGAGGTCCTTTCCCCTCTTTCCCCCCTAAGGCCTTTCCCCCCGTGAGATCTTCTCCCTTGTCCTCCCCAAGATCTTTTCCCTTGGTTGGGATCCTTTCCCCCTTTCCCCCCGAGATCTTCTCCCTTTTCCTCCCTAGGATCTTCTCCCACCTTTCCCTGTTGAGCTCCTTTCCCCCTTTTCCCCCTAAGGCCTTTTCAGATCTTCTCCCTTTTCCTCCCTAAGATCCTTTGCCCCCTTTCCCTGTTGAGATCATTTCCCCCTTTCCCCCCTAAGGCCTTTTCCCTGCCTGGGACCTTGTCCCTTTCCTCACTGAGATCTTTCCCCCCCTTTCCCTGTTGAGATCCTTTCCCCCCTTTCCCCCCTACGGCCTTTCCCCCCTCTGAGATCTTCTTCCTATTCCTCCTTAAGGTCCTTTGCCCCCTTTCCCTGTTGAGATCCTTTCCCCCCTTCCCTTTAAGGCCTTTCCAGATCTTCTCCCTTTTCCTTCCTAAGATTGTTTCCCCCCTTTCCCTGTTGAGATCCTTCCCACCCTTTCCCCCCTCAGGCCTTTCCCCCCCCCCTGAGAGCTTCTCCCTTTTCCTTCCTTAGATCTTTCCCCCCTTTCCCTGTTGGCCTTTTTTCCCCCAGATCTTCTCCCTTTCCTCCCTAAGATCTTTTCCACCCCTTTCCCTGTTGAGATCATTTCTCCACTTTCCCCCCTAAGGCCTTTGTTCCCAGATCTTCTCCATTTCCTCCCTAAGATCTTTCCCCCCCCCCCTTTCCCTGCTGAGATCCTTTTCCCCCTTTCCCCCCTAAGGCCTTTCCCCCCCCTGAGAGCTTCTCCCTTTTCCTTCCTACATCTTTTCCCCCCTTTCCCTGTTGGGCTTTCCCCCCTAAGTCCTTTTCTCCCAGGTCTTCTCCCTTTCCTCCCTAAGATCTTCCCCCCCCCCTTTCCTCCCTAAGATCTTTCCCACCCTTTCCCTGTTGATATCCTTTCCCCCCTTTCCCTCCCAAGGCCTTTCCCCCCCTGAGGGCTTCTCCCTTTTCCTTCCTAAGATCTTGTCCCCCCTTTCCCTGTTGGCCTTTTTTCCCCCAGATCTTCTCCCTTTCCTCCCTAAGATCTTTTCCACCCCTTTCCCTGTTGAGATCATTTCTCCCCTTTCCCCCCTAAGGCCTTTTTGCCCCAGATCTTCTGCCTTTCCTTCCTAAGATCTTTCCCCCCCCCCCCAGTTCCCTGTTGAGATCATTTACCCCCCTTTTCCTTCTAAGGCCTTTTCCCACCCTCAGTTCTTCTCCCTTTTCCTCCCAAAGATCTTTCCCCCCCTTTCCTCCCTAAGTCCTTTTCCCTGAGTTCGTCTCCCTTTGCCTCCCTAAGATCTTTTCCCCCCTTTTCCGCTTAAGATCCTTTAAAGTCTTTTTCCCCCTTTCCCGTTTGAGATCCTGTCCCCCCATTGCCCCTTAGGGCCTGTTCCCCCCGAGAAAGATTTCCCTTTTCCTCCCAAAGATCTTTTCCCCCCTTTCCCCCTTAAGGCATTTTTTCCCCAGATCTTCTCCCTTTCCTCCCTGAGATCTTTCCCCCCCTTTCGCTGTTGAGATCCTTTCCCCCTTTCCCCCCTTCATTTCCTTCACCAGCATGGGCAACATCCCCAGCATCACTTGCATCATCCGCATCCTTGGCAGGCGCTGATGCGGATGATGCAGGTGATGCTGGCGATGTGCCGCTGGAGCTGCTAAGGATGCGAAAGCGCACCCGGGGGGAATCGAACACCCCAATGTTTTTGACAAACTGAGTTGCGCAAGCCCGCACAATGAACAGATTTAGTGAAGCGTCTTCGAATCACCCCGTGGTACGTGGACCGCATTTTTTGTCCAACACGCCGAGTCACTTTTGTGTTGAAGCCCTGTTGGCGCCATCTTTGTTTCTTCATACAGGGGAAGTCAAAAGTGGCTGTAGGGAAGAGGTACCATTTCAGGTTAGCATGGACCTATGCTCAAACCGCTCCCAAAGTGTATGGGGCACAGTGCCACTATTCAAGTACAGTATAGAGTAAAAATATGTGTTTGTTCTTCATTTGCCCTGTGATGAGCCCCTCAATTGCTTGAGTTTAAGCTACCTTGCCACGGTACCAAAAAGGCCCTCTGGACAGTGCCAGGCATGCCCTTGTTCCAAGCCTCGCCGGGGGGCATTTTCGTGTGGGGGGGTCCTTGGAGACGGCCCTTTAAGTTTTTGCGATTCTTGCGAGGGTTCAAACCACGTGCTCCACGTGCGCCTAAAAGAAAATGGTAATTACACCACCCAAGAAGTCTGCTGATAGTATTGTACTGGTCAACCGTTATGGATGCGGCCAACCACCAAAGAATGGTATTATAAACCACCAGACATTCTGCTTATAGTTGAAAAGTGGTCCTTTGCCCCTTGCCCTCTGCCCTTCCCCATGAAAAAACCTTCCACGCGTCCCTGAACCGAATCTGAGGTGTGACCATCGCCAAGGAGATCGAGCTCGAGGACCAGGCGGCGGGTTGTTCGAAGCTGAGGTCATATTTTTGGGCGCCGACCTTTTGGTTTCCCCATCTTGGTCCAAATTTTTAGTAGGGGTGCCAAAAGGTCAACCTTTTAGTTCTGGGTCCCTAAGGGGCAACTGAGTATTGTTGGGTACCGTCCCTTTGGTTTTTAAAAACGGACACCAGGATGTCCATGCTCTTGCTGGGTACCTAAAGAAAGACACCCCCACGTGGGTTGTTCAAAATCAAGGCTTTGCCGTTATGCAGTTGCGGCTTGGAAAGCTTCGAGGGGAAGCTTGGAGCCAGAGAGTTGATTCAAAAGGTGGGATCACTGAGGAAAAGCTCGAATCTGCCTGAGTAGTCCGGGGTCAACTTGAAGCATGCATATGTCCGGGGATTGGATCAGTACAGCCTTGTATGTCCAGGACCCTTCTGGGTGACGTACTTTAAAACAAAAAAAATGACGCTCTCGCGCGTGGAATCTCCAGTGTTTTGGGGCGGCACAATCTGTCCCTTTGTCGAATGGAAGACGTTAAAGAGCAGGACGTGCATGTCCCCAATGGCTTGAAGTTTCTGAGGTTTCTGAGGTTTGGTTGCCATGTTTGGCTAAGGTGACGTCAAGAGGGGAAAATATGGGGAACCGTTCTTTTGGGCGGGCTGTGCCCGGAAAAACCTGGAGAAGCCAGGCCATGCGGTTTCTTGAAAGTCTAAGCTTTTCTTGGGCCTTTTGCATCGACTTGGCCCGATTTAAAGGCTGGGGTAAAATGAGCTTATGAGGGATCCTTTTTGAGTGGAGTGTCTTTGCTGTGCATTGTGCATGTAAAATGAACAGTCAGCCGAAGTCGAGGTTGGGGTTAGGGTTTCAGGACTGCTGATCAAACCGCACAGGTGTTTGATTGAGCACTTGCTGAGGAGTAGGCGACCCCCCCAACGAGGCGTGTGGTTTCCGTTCTGGTTTTTATTGCTTGAACATGAACCAAGGCTTCCTACCTCTGTATACTTCTGCTTTTGTTTCGTGAAACCCCAAGAAGCGGTCCTCCTCACCAAAAGGAGGCTCCGCGACAAATGGATGGTTGTTGTTAATGAGTTCCCTTCGTCACCCCCACTGCGGCAATCGCGGCGGCTCCTTTGCCAATCTGCTGTGAGCTGCTGGGCCCTCTAGAGAGATGAAGATGCGTTTCTTGCTTCAAGTGAAATGTTAGGTGAAGCATTGGCGGCACATGCAGACCACATTTTTTGTGGGTAATGTTTAGGTGTACTACATAAGAACTACAAAACACAGTGCACACAGGGGATGGGCGCTTGCCGATATTTCCCGAACCTGTGTGTGCCACCCAGTCCAAGGCTCGTCTTGAGAACCAGCACGTTTGTTGCACCGGCCAACGCCTGGGTTCATGCCCTCCGTACGATGCATTTCTGATTCCAAAGCGGGCTTGCAGTGGCTTTTAAGTACAGAAAGAGGACACCATTCCCAGCACTTACGGTCAACACTCATATCTGCTGTAGATGGAACGGTGTCGGGTATGCTCGCTACATTGGTATTCTGAAAAACCGGGGGTGCTCCTTGACAATGTTGGCGGACGCTGGGCAAATCTCTGCAGGCCTTTGTTGCATGGTTTTCCGTTGAACCCCTTGAAACTAAACTTTCAGCAGGGGAGCAGATTTCGCAACCGAGAGGTGGAGAACACTGGCGTGCAGCTCATCCGGCAAGCCTCCGCCAAGACCAACGACGTCGCTGGCGATGGCACCACGTGATTCGGCAAAGGATACAGCGGTGTCCGAACTTGGATGGCCATGGTTCAAAATCTGCACCACCCTTTTTAGTGGGGATTGGGATGTTCACAAGGGGGTACCGGGTTTTGACCCATGGCCGGATGAGCAGCCCTCTTAGTCAGTGCTAATGCTGGCAGTTGACTAATCCCCTAAGGGAAATCCCTCTCAGAGGGGACTACTAGGATACTAATCACTCGTACTAAGTGCGGTGGTCGTCCAAGTACAAACTCCAGAACCCTGCACCATGGGGAGGGCCGCTTGGTCAGGTTCCACTTCAGTCACGTCAACCCCAAACAGGGTTTTTATTTTGTTTCGCTACAAGGGTCCCTGGTTGCGACTGTGGAGAACAGGAACAGCACTGGGACCTTGTGACTGGTATACTTGTACCCTTGGGCTCTCAAGGCAAAATTTTGTTTGGGAGAGGGCGTCCGGAACACCATTCTTGATCCCACTTCCCATTTTGTGTGGAAGACTAGACAAACAACTGGGGAGAGAAATCGCTCTCCAATAGGTAGGGGCCGTACCCGATCAATTGGCGAAATTTGTGTTTGTCTATGGTTGGCTTTGGGCGGGGGGGGGGGGGTGAAAAGGGACCGCAACCCCATGCAAAGCAAGCGGTCGAAACACCCCAATTCGTCCCATGTCCTGTTGATTGCCCATTGTTGTCTGAAGTTTGGAAGTTTGCCAACATGGAACTCCTTTGGAGACCCTGCTGTCACTTTGTGCGTACCATTGGAACGTTTCTCTTTTGAGTAGTCCATGTGTTTGTTCTGCTCTTCTGCTTTCTAAGCTGCGTTTTGTGTACGCGTGTGTGTGTGTGTGTGTGTGTGTGTTTTTTTGTGTTGGGGGGGCGGGGGGGTGTTTTTTTCGGTGGTTTCTTTCAGCTATGTATTATCGTTTTTAAGCCACCCTCCCACTCCTCGGATATTCCGCCTCTCAGCGCGAAAACGAGGACGGCCACGATCTTGGCGCATGCCATGGTGAAGAGCGGGCTGAAACAGCTGGCGGTCGCCCCAGCGCGGGGCATCAGCCAAAATCCGATGCGCGAATCCATCGCCACCCGACTTTTGGTGTTGTTTGCTCAACCGGTAGGACCCTACTACTGGGTGGCCATTGTTTTAAAGAAAGACTGTTTCAGAGGGAAAGAACCTAAGAGGGTCCATACATCCCGACTCGCCAAGGTGACCTCACACGGTACGTTTTGACGTTGGCAAGTAGCGTGCCTTGCGAAGACATGTGCTTTAGAACTCTTGTTTTACGCGTTTCGGGAAGTACGGCAGTCTTTTGCGTGTCCGGCGACTTAGATGCTTTTCACCTCGGAGTAAAAGCACATGCTGCCTCGCTGGACATCTTGAGAGGGTCTGCCTAAATGCTTTGGGAGCGATACACATAATATGCACTAAACCGGCATGGACAGTAGTGGGCGAGGCCATGCCACAACAGCGCTTTTCGGGGCGGCAAAAAGCCCTGCATGGAAGCAACATGTAGGGTAAACCATTTTGTGGGTTGATGCCTTTTCTAGAAACCTCATGTTTTTTCCAGGCCTGTTCAAGATCACAACCAGACTGACACCTTGTTCCAACAGCCTTTCCAACTTGCGTTTTCCTTAGGGACATCAGGACATCTGGCTTCTCGTGTCTGACCATTGAGCTTTTCCGTTTTTCTGGAAACACCTGCACTGCCGGGGTCGTTGTACTTAGTCGTATTCCGGTACGTGACAGCAGCGGTGAATTCCGAGACGGTACCTTTACGTACTTCCGGCCATGAGTTGGCTCCTGCCTTGTTGCCGTGGGGGGTGGCTCACGTTCTGTTGAGACTTTGTAGACAGGCTTGCCCAGGGTCCTGGTTGTCTAGCCTTTTTTTGGGGGGGACTCCCCTCCATCTTGATTCCTCGCAGGTCTTGGTCACATTTGTTTCTTTCCTGAGCGGTCGACTGGCTGGGCTTCGAGGTTTCTGTTTTTTGTTGCCAACTAGCACAACTTCGTCGTGTTGGCATTCGCATCAGATGTGCAGTCAGTCCAAGACAGATCGGATTTACCTAGTGTGCGCCAGACATACCACGTTCTCGTGGCAGAAATGGATTGTATATAACACACCCTCCAGTGCCTTTCGACTACTTGCTGGATAGAGCCCGTGTTTGAGGCTCTCTGGGCATGTGGTCCACCACAGTCGGCCTTGCCCGCATTTGCAGAAGGCAGCTTAAATCTTCAGGTTCGATTTGGCTTCTGCGCGGCCAGTTTTGGAAGTTCACTGACGGCCGCAGGAAGTGGCCTTAAATGCATTTTCCGGGGCCCAGAGGCAGCTCTGGAAGCAGAATCGAGATTGAAGGGCTTTACTGCCCAAACTAGATTCCTGTCAATTTGCAAATCCGATGTGACATAGACCACCCAAGAAAGAGGGGCCCTGGCAATATGATCCGTTGCGCACACACGAGAATAGACCTCCGTATTTGCCAAGTTCAGAAGTGGGCACCCTTGTTTGTCCATGTCGAGGTAAAAAAACGTAACGTGGGTGATTGGCCTAGCCCGGGCCTCATATTTTTCCGGGGGTAAAGGAACAGCCCTCTTGTCACACAGCTGACTTCCTGGACTTGGTACTTTTCGGGAAGACGAAAAGTTGGCGGCGGAACACCAAGTTGTTAAACTCAGTGT